CGTAGAAATGTGGACGTGTATGACAACACAAAGGTTCCTTCGCATGTGAGTGACAGTTTTACTACACAAAATTCTACATATTGGGTCAGAATAAAGCCTGGCTTGAATAAACTCGAAATAATGTGACAGAATACAAGGAAAAATGAGTTCCTTTCGTACCGCAGTGTACATGATGTGGAAAGATTTGTGCAGTGGGCGTTGGGCTCAGTTTCTGTAAGACAGGAACTTCGTCTCCAAGAAATACAAATGTGGTTGCTGCACCGCAGAAATGTTTGCATACAATATTGCCTCTCATTAAACACGAAAAGAGGAACGAATGGTAAACAAATTCAACGCTTACATAAATTTTATGTCTTTGTTTCTCCCATTGCCTCAGTACACAACTAGCAGCTTACAGCGTTAAATAAACGCAGATATAATGTTTGCAGCAGGACTTTTCAGCTAGTCAAGAACCTACACGCCTTATATGGAACTCGAAGATTCATTACTTTGTTCACAAGAGGCCGCCACTCATCTCCATCTTCCGCCAGATTAATCCAATCGTCACCCCTAAAAATATTATTTGAAGATCCATTAAAATTATCCTCCCATCTACCCCTGGGTCTTCCGAGCGGTCTCTTCCTTTCAGAATTTCCAAACAAAACCATTTATGCTTTCTTTATCTCCCCTATGCGTGCTATTTACTCCGCCCACACGAACGGGACATATTTAGAAAAAAAAATTTACTTTCAGTTCAGCGTGTCTTGTTTGGCTGTCCGTCCACAGTTGTGCTTTGGACACATTTTATTCTCAGTTTGTGCAGTCCTACATTCAATCTCCGAAAGATCAGTTTTAATTGTCATTTGCAGAACATTCACGTACACTACACGACTTTGGTAGATATATTCATTCCTATGTTAATATAAATTATTCATGGCAACCTATGGTAATTTATTATGAGCACAAGATAAACAATCAAGTGCTCTGACAACCTATTGTCATTCTACACCCTTACAGATATCAGTTTATCTCACAAACAAATTGCACGTATTCTGGGAATGTTCCCGGAAATTTGTGGATTCATTAGACTGGAAACATTATATCGTTACACAAAACCAAATACATTAAATAATAATACGTCCGAACGTTTGTATAGCCCATAAAACCCATTTCCTCCTGCAGCGATATCTTTTACCGATACTCCCTTGTCTCTTCTCCACGTCCTTTGTTCCAGTTTTCATCTTTATGCACCCAAAAGCATTGATGACGTAAGGCAGAGCAGATATAACGTCCTTACATTTTGGAAAATTGAATCTATGGCGTTATGTCTGTGGAACCGTAAATGCTTGATACTCGCTTATCTGTTAATTTAATTAACATTTTAAAGGCACGTTCTTTCACGTACTTCCCAAAAATTTTCTTCATAATACAAGCATTAAATAATTAGAATTTCTAAAATCGTGGCATTATTATAACGTATTTAGTTAATACAGTAACTTCGTTGGATGTCGCTACTAGCTCTGTGTCTATTTAAACATACAGCTGTTTCCATGAAGTTTTAGTATAAAGAGGAAAAGTTAAAAAAAACTGTTACTTTAACATAAGTCTGCAAGTAACTGCAACAACCAACACTGTTGAATACGCATGTGCAATACGAGTGGACGCTGTATTAAGGCAGTTCTCAAAGCACACTGGCTTCGTCTCTACAAACAAATCAAATGTTTCCATTCCACAGTAAATACGCTTCTAAATGCTGTTGCTGGTACTTTAACAAAATAATTACTATCAAGAATCTAAAACCATAATCTTAGGGGATTACTTCTTTAGGGACGTACTATCTCATTATATTAGATATGCAAGAGTGACACTCATAAAAACGCCGATGTTATTTCACCTGCAGACAATAAATTTCCGCCCAGGACATGTTATCTACGACACGTTCCATTCAATAGTTAAACCACTGTCATAACAGTTGAACAAAACGAGGTGAAAATCTAAATGACATTTTCTCAGAACTGTGAAATGGGGCAATGGCCCATTCAGCAGCAAGCCACAGACAGGCCTGTCACAAACAAAGAAGCCACCGAACGAATTACATAGAACTCCCAGCCATTGCTTCAGGTCTGCGTGTGATTACTTCAGTAACTTAAAACACATTATTACGAAGCTTACATCTAAAAATATTATTAAATGTAAAATTTAAGAATGTGTTTCCATACAAGTTCTCCAATTTCTCTTTCGTTGTACAATCTTGTGCTCTGATTAATTAATTACTTTTGCTTTATTTTATGACGCAATCAAATGAAGCAAGGTTACTAACCCCTCGCACGCTTCGTTCGGTTTGTCCTCTTAATTAACATTGCCAACCTGTACGTTCTGTTGATTAACTCTTAAAGAATGCCTAAACGTTTAAACAATGAAGGATAATCAATTTATGACCTCTGCATAAAATGACTGCATTAGGTAAGCAAATCAACGTAACTGATATATAAATAATAATGGCTTCCCTCCAACATGGCTGCCCCGTGTTCCATGCCGCTTACACAGAATACTTTTCAGCACTGGATTTCAGTTCATTAAGGAAAGGAACACGTAAATATATTATCTTTCCACCTACCTTTCAGTCAGAGTGTTGACATTTCCTATGCACTGATTATCTTCTCTTTCTATAATAAAACACAAACAACACAAAAACATTCCACCCGCCACATGCACTTCTCCACGAGGTACTACTGTCTCGTGCCATTATTCCCCTCCTCTCCCCTCCACATTCTGTCTATCTCGGTGACGTATGATAACGTGACATTGAAATCTAGTTTCAGGGGCGCTGTGCAATAAGAACTAAAGTTCCCTGCTGCAGCTGCTTCTGCCATCCGCTGCTAATATAGTTATTGGCCTTGTAATGTGAGATGTACGCAACTGGGGCTCGGGGAAACAAAAAAAACTCCGCGAAACGTGTCAAAATCGATCCATCCGAATTAAAAACACGTTCTTATCCCAGAATGTTCGTCTGAGAGTTAACTATAGCAAAATATAGATTACGAAAGCCCGCATACTTCATCAAAATTCTAAATGACACTACATTGTAGCGAGTCTTTGATTTTGGTTTTTGCCACCGAGTCATTTGACAGACATTGATAAAAGCTGACACGCACTTATAAAAGTATATCTCTTCCTTAAGACCCAAATAATTGTAATGGCCACTTCGCCTGAGGGCCTAATCTGATATTCTTTTATTTTGAATTATGATATTACCTTCTGAAGAAGAACGTCATATCGAATTATATCGAATTATTTCTTTAAAAATCATTAAATTCCTCTAGAACTGAAAAGGTATTGACAGCTCGGAAAATTATCAGGCAGCTCGTCATTGCTTTAGTTCGTTGTCAGTTTACTTTGTAATTAATTTGACTTACGTAATGCTAAAACCTAAGGAAGGGGTGATTCTTAAGTGCGTTATTTAACTACATCCTAATCATAACACATAAATTACCAGAACCTGAAGTGAACACGATCCTTAGCTATATCCATCCACTTCCCGTCCTTACAACCAATCTTCCTAAGATCCAACTTTTGGTCTCTGCCGGTCTTGAAGTGGGCGTTTCCTCAAAAGTTTTCCTGCCTAAATTCTAATCGTCATTCTAGTCGCATGGCCTGCCCTGTCTACCGCATCCTAACAATATCAGGTAATTTATGTAGGTTTTAAGGTTCTTCTTTACGCAGTAATATATTCTAAATTGCCTGCTTTCTTCCTTCAACGTTAGAGACTGCATTTCATACTCTTGCAGAATTAATCATGAAGTTCTGCCTAGATTAAAAACGGGCGCGCGTGTGTGTTATCAACTCCAACTCCATGTTTGTATTCTCTTGTTGATTAACTGCAGTTAAATTAAGAACTATTAACACGATAATAAAAGCATTGCGTCTTAAATTTATTACAAATAAAATTTCAGTTGATGAAAGAATTTAATTTTTTTAAAAATTTGATACTTATAATACAAAATTGTACAATCTATCGAATAAATTAACGCTCACCAAAAAATTAACATTTTTAACATAACATATTACAAGCAACAAAGTATGAGATTCAATAGCTATTTCAAGAACAGATAGAATTGGGTAACATTTCAAACATGACAATAAAACTACAATTACTTTATTAACTAGTATGTTATCATGTTTACAACTGAAGAGTATCTACGAATAGATACTACTAGGACTACATAAACAGTCAGTTCAGGAAGTAGAGACGACTCAGAATTGTAAATTGATTTGTATAAATGAAAGATATTACGTTACGTTGACATAACACGAAATATATTACGTCTGTTTCTAGCTGAATTCCCGATTTTAAAGTCCGTATTGTATACTGTTGTTTTATTACTAAAGCCAAGCGCAAAACATTAACCTCATTGGAATGTGGATCGTTAATACTGGACATAACATCAGCCGCTGTGTTTTCTGATACACAAATTATCTGAACGGTTTTAAGCATTTATTTAATAAAAACAAAAAGACGTACAGAAACTTACATCATTGGAAGGTTTAATTTCAACTGTAACATGCGAGAAAAGTGACGTTAACTCCAAATATGGCAAATAGAAGCGAAACTTTTGACATGGCACTAAAATGTCAACTTAAGCTGAGAAGGCAAAAATTCGTAGATAGTACGCATTCCTTTTCGCAGATCAATAAAGCAACTACCATTTCTGATGGAAATGGAATAACCGCGTAATCTATACCTAATTAGGGCCTACATGAAATTTTCGTTACGAAATATTTATAATTGTATATATTAAATCTCTAACGTTACTTTCTCTATTTTTTTCCATACTAAGTGCATGGAACACAGTCCTATTTGAGAAGTTGAATCACAAGGTTAGTCAAAAACTTCATGACACTTTATGGGACCTAAAGGTTTATTATTGTGGTCATATGAGGCTGGAGGTAATCCCTGTCCTGGGCCACATGAATCAAATCTACACTCTCTCACCCTATTTCGAAGATCCACTTTAATATTATCCTCCTATTTTATACTTACACCTTCCGAATGGTCTCTTCCCTTCAGGTTCCCAACCTACCATATAATAAATATTGATTGTACAATAATGTCTGTAATAATAATAATGTTCATAAATATTTAAATTAAATAAACATTCAGTGTAAAGTAATCAATCATCATATTCCCTAAATTTACAGATTTTGAACAGTTTGTAAAAGTACAATCAGAGTTAAATTCTTACTGGGTGTTAAATTCCAGTCGTAAACATAATATTCTTACACGATGAGTCTAACAAATATATTTACATAAATATGCAAATTCATGTGTGCGTAAATAGGCAATATTTGTTAGTAGATCATAATTCATCATTATGAGGTCAGCAGTTTTACTTCAGACTAACCTGCTGCATGCCTCGCGCGGTGAGAACATACATTTCAGTACATTGTACGTTGAATAAAGACAACACATTCCTCAGATCTGTGCCACCGGATATTTTTATACTGAATTCCTGTAATCTTCAATCCAAACGTTTTGATCTCGAGAGGTGTGAATGAATTTAATATATCAGCTGCAGTGGAGTGCAGCAGTTTTTATAGAACTTCCTACTATCACGCATAAACCCTTTAGCCTAAATCTAAAAGAAATCACGCTTAAGATTACACACCACAGCTATTATATGTATATATAACTTTGGCTCCCAAGTGATTTTTTCCTAACTTAATTTTCGTTTCACTACCTATCGGTGTCCTTTGCCCTGCATTGGTATAAGAAGTCCTGGCAGGACCTTACTTTGCGAACTGTGTGACACCCCTGTGACTCTCACAACCCTCAATCATCTTTACTGTCCCAGTTATGGTGATAAAAACATATTATTTCACTCCAATAAAACTGAACCTCCATACAGAGACATAGTCGTGGGACCTATCGATGTCTCTCGCGATATTAAAATCGATTCTCAGGAGACCCGCAGTCGGCCCTTATGGGAGCCACGTGATATTCCCGAACACTTACTAATTCTCTAAGAAACTAATCTTTTATTATGCCTATATTTATATGTATTTGTTTATTGACTTTTACTTAATTCATGTATAACGTTTAATTTTAATGTAAATGTTATTAATATATTCGAACTTTACAAAATTGTTACATTTTACAATTCTACAACACTTTTAATTTGCTGTACTACATTCACACTAAGTATTTAATTTTATTTGGTCATAAATATTACAGCGAATATTTATATTATTTTTCTTTATTATTAATATTTATAACATAATTCTAAGAAACCTCTTTATTATATATGACGCTTTATCATTAGAAAGTTAACTTTGTAATGTCATACTTCGTAACCGAGTAACATAATTCTAAGCAACCGCTTTAGTCTATATGACGCTTTATCATTAGAAAGTTCACTTTGTAATGTCATACTTCGTAACCGATTGTGCCATAAATCTGGAACATCACGCACTGTAATCTTATTGAAGAGCTAACATCATTGAACACTCTAACATTCGAATTCAAACACCCGATTTCGTTTAATTATTAACGTCAACTACTTTACAGCATCCATTTTCCATACTACCACGTGGTTCAAACTCGTAAAAGGAGAATCAAACGTTAATATTTTACAAACGTTTTGTATAAACTTCTTAAGGCAGTAAAACATAGCCTAATATAAAATACGTTCAGTAGAATAAAAGTTATTGGATTACGCTTTGCATAAGTTTAGTATGCGATTGAGATATTAGATCTTGTTATCAGAACAATCATCTTTATAATTCGGGAAACACTCCAATTAGCATGTTCTATTTCTAAGTCTGGAAGTCTGTGACCGAAAAATAAATATAATCATTTTTCGAAGAACAATTTACATTAACACGCCGTTTAGAATTTGTATAAGCAAAATTTCCCTCATAAAATATCACGCACAACTATAACTCAATTTATATTTATTTAACATGAGTTCCTTCATTTAAGATATAGAAGCGTATCATTTTATACTTTAAAACTTAAAGATTATAACTTTGTTGACTTGCTTTAATAGTTTAATGTCCTAGGCTTATGTTATTAGGCTTACTGAGGCAGAGTATTATACCTTAAAGCCTCTATTTAACGTTACGTTTCATATGCAGTTTATGGATAAGCCCTAAAGACATAACGAGTTTAAACAACGTTCGAACTTTTATAATTTTTTCCCTTCCACAATGCACACATTATGATGAACAAGTTTATTAAAACTGTTAACTCACTAACATGAAATTAATATATTATACTACATTCAATAACATTGTTATTAGATAAATTCAATTGCTCTTTTATTAAAACAGTGATCCTTCCTGTATTGAACCACTTTGAATTAACATATTCCTTCTTCCTGTACATCTTAAATTTCCATAAAAACAATAACAGACACGGGTCAACATCACTCTTAATACAACGGGATTCTAAAAAGAGCTGAACAGATCGCCACAGCATCTGCTTTTGAACTTTCGATAAGCGAAAACCAAACGTCGATATCCATCGTACAAATATAATTTAGTGGAGATGCACGCTAATTCTGGGTAGATTTATTTACCACAAGCAAATAAAAAATGTAACGCCTAAATAAATTTCGACACTCTTCACACTCTTAAGGAAGATACGTTTGCATGTCAACATACGTATAACGAATAATTTATTCCATACATACATTTTTCTTTCTAACGAACTCAATGTCTATTTCATATTTACAGACAAAGCTCCAAAGCATGCATCATGGATAATTACAAGCGTATTTTCATAAAATTTTATTACAACATATGCAACGCGCGATAAAATGTGAATATTCTCTTTATTATTTTGGATCTAAAGAGAAAGTTGCACACATCCTAAATAATCTTATATATTTAAATGTATTAATATACACAAAAGTTCACAACGTTATTGAATTCGTATTATTTCGTGACTACCAAGAAATGTAGTAGTGAGAACAAACCGGAAGCAGCAGACAGCACAGACACGCAGTAAACCTCGAAAATAACTTCCAATATGACGAAGAGTTTGTTCCCAAGGGCACAATGTACCAGCTACAGCATTCATTTCTCGCTCTGAGTCACGGAAATTTTGATTAGGTGAAAGTTGTAGAACATAACCTAACGCAAAGGAAGAAAATACATTTTATTCCCGCATGAATTTGTGTACATTTATACCAAGTGCCAGCAAAAATATGTTCCTTAAAATGAAGTTAATAATATTTAATAGCAATGTTAAAGGTTCTCTTTCATACGACTGTGAAACACGGAAGAAAGTTCGAATTCTTCATCGCAGCATTTGGAAATAGTTACTTGAGAAGATTACGTTCTTCAAAGTTGGTTAATAGCAGTACCTAAAGGATTCGGGAGGCCTCCTAGCAAACACCTCCCAGGTTACATTAATCCCAGTAGACATCCAGGCCATTTATCTGGATATGTGTGCTGTCACACAGCATTCATATGTCTTGATTATTCGCATACGAATGTTAAACCACTTCTGAACCAACATTAAACTTCTACCCCCAATTCTAGTTATTGAAAAATGCCACGTTTAACAAGTTTAGAAACAATATTTACCCATGTATTGATTATTCTAATTCTGTTTTTGAGCTTCAGTATGGTAAACATTTATGTTCAACCATGTGTAATTTAAAAAATCAAATTCCGTTATTCTAAATATCTTATTCTTCCTTCGTGAAGAATAATTTAAATAACATATGACCATTAGACCATGTCGAAATTACAATTTACAGAAAATGTAATGAAGATTACTGTTTTCTGGAATGAACTCTGGTACACATCTCCCCTTTTACCCCTCCCAGCTGTTTAATTCTATTTATTTATCCCATGTCCCCTTAAATTGTCCCCGTTCATTTTATATTTAACTTCCTCTGTTTCCTCTGATCACTGTTGGTCCCGTCAGCCTTTATAAGGGCTGTTTCTTCCCTCTTTTGCATGTCGGGCCCGTATCCGTAATTCCCCCTGGTATTCATTTATCTACTTTTATATAATTTTATTTTTGTTTATTCTTTATTTTCCCTCCCTTTCTTTTTATCTCTTCTCTGTAGTTTCATTCTTTAGTATTCTCACTCCACATGTTGCATTTTCTGATTTTCCAATAATTCTAAATCTCCTCTCCTTTTGTCACACTTTTTCAGTTTGTCCTCATTCCAACCCTTCACCTCTCACCCATTGGTTTGATGAAGCTTCTGATTTGTTTGATTTGTTCCAAAATCTGAAGCAACTTTTTCGCTCGTGACTGAAAATGTCGGTTCACCCTCAACCATAACACAGAGCGCAACATCCCATCGGAAAACCGTCTTCCAGTCGCCGTGAGAACTTGAAATCTCACCAAATAATACAATGACTTTGTATCTGAAAATACATTTTACAGAAAGGTTTGTCAATATTCTTCAAAGGCAACGCCATTTCTTACAAACATACTAAAACTGTAAAACTTGAAAATTATTATATCCTGTTTAGTCCGTGACGTTGTGGTGTTGTGACAGTGCCCTGATTATCAGTTTTCATAGTCATCCTGGGGCACCTGAAAGTTGTTCTTACGCAGAGGAATCCCGGACAGTACTTCGTCAATCGGCTTGCGCTTGTCGTAGAGTGACGGCGCCTGGAAAATAATTCCACAGGTTCCCCCGATGCAAGCGAGCGTAAACACCCAGAGGAAGAAGCGATCAAGTACCATCGACACGTACTTCCAATCTTCAACAATCTGCAACAAGCACGTCATAAGCATTTCTCTTAAACTGTCAGTAGTGTAGATTTATTAATTAAAACGGATCTTAGATAAATACGTTGTGACGATGCGGACCGGATCCATATTGTACAAGACAGGATGCATTAGCAGGTTGTTGGAAAGAGAGAGTAATGAATCTTAGTGTACCATAAAAGTCGAGCATCTGAGCGACTTTGGCTTCTGAAGAATGAATTCGTTCATGGAGACTGTTTGATACAATCTGGCGTGCTTCGTCGTCCTGTATGTGGTTAGCAACGTTTCGTAGAAAGCTATCGCCTGCATCTTCAGGATAACAAAATCACAAACTAGAAGACCACAACGGATATGTTCACCGCCGTTAGAATCTCAAGTCTAGCGTGTTCGATATTGTCCGTGCATCGGAGTGAAAATCCATGAGAATGAAATTTACTTCACAAAGGAGACTTGCAAACAGATATTAAAAATGCGTTAGCAATAAACTACAAAATATATTGTAAAGTCGGCTCGCATGTGACTGCACAGAAAGTTTCTTCAAAACATGCTGCTGTACATCGCGATAAAAATTCGTCAAACTAGGCATTCCAGAAATATTAACTGCATAACATATTACGAAAGAAATGCCTTACGGCATTATAATATTTAACAACAGAGCTATCAGTAAAGTGACGTGCCATACATCCAGAATAAAATTATAGTTGGTCTGTTTGGTTGAGCATTAATTATTTCAGTTTTTGTAAAAGCTTCGTAACGTCAATAATATTGTTATGGCACAAAATATGGGAGATTGCGATGAATTACATATATAGTTCGAATGGATAAAAAGTAAATACACATACATACAACATTTTCGTGATAAAGCAGATTGGAAAGAAGTCATTAAAACGACCAAGAAATGTATGCAAGGATGGCATTAAGTAGATAGTAAGAGGATAGGTTCTGAGGCAAAGAGGTAGCTGGAGATTGGTCAGTATCTTGATCAATGGGAGGTTCTGGTAAAAAAATACTGAATCTTTGGGTTTAATAATCAGTTCGTTAACATAAATATTTTGACATTAACATTTCAGAAAACCACCTTGGGTTTGTAGCAGATACTTAGTACTTGTCGACCTTAGCAGATGAAGGAAATATCGATAAAGCAACCCGCATGCAGCGAAGGATTTACCTTCAACTTATCTTACCCGTTCCAGTCGAATGCGCCTTGAAACTGAGTTCAATCGTAAAGAATTAATGTTACCTGCTGATTACAGCAATATACGACTCTCTCTTGTCTGCTATGTCACCGTTCACAATTTATAGTCACGTTTTGGAGTATTAAGGCAGCCGTAGACCTATTTATATTTCACTGGGGTGACATTCACATCCACTGAGCAAAGGCTATGTTGTCAATTCCAAAATCCTGTGATCGCATATTTATTGCTGTCTTCCGCTACGTGTTCATGGTGTCTCACATGGTATATTTTCCAACAGCTGGTATCGTGTCGGCGTTTCTAAATTTAAACAGACGGTATCTGACAATTCATTCAAAAAGTGTAGCTAATATTGTATTTTGAAGCTCGGCTGTTTTTAATTTAGAAAGAACGAATGTCCTCCTCATCTCCGGAAGACCGAATTATTTTGATACTGCGAGGGGGAAGGGACTGGACTGCAGTATCAGCTCCCGTTTGAAGAAAAATAAACTTTGATGGGATCGTACGGACGCTATAAAGGGAGGCAACGTAGGCAGCCTCGTATACAGCATAGTTCAGTAACAATCGATTTCTGACACGTTTCCCACGAGGAAAGTCTCGTACATAACCTATAAAAGGAAAGATAGGTCATAAACGATGCACATGTGCCTCTCTGTTGTATTCATTAGGCATCGGTCGGTATTCAGATGATAGTATTCGTACCTCCATCAGCTGGAACAAGGAAGGGATTTCGAGAGGAGAGAAGAGATATCTCTTTAAAATTCTTTTTAAAAACCTTTCCCTTCCCTTATCTAGGTCTCAAGAGTAGTCTCCCAAGGAAGAGATTTCGAGAGGAAAGAACAGATATTTCTTTAAAATTCTTTTTAAAAACCTTCCCCTCCCCTTATCTAGGTCTCAAGAGTAGTCTCTTTTATTCAGGTTTTACGATTATAAATCTTAATGTCGCACACATCGTTCCCATGCATGCTACATGTCCAGCCCATCTCATTCTCCTTCATTTAATCACCTAATATCTGATAAACAGTGCACATTACGAACTACTTCATTACTCAGTTTAAAGTTGTTTCATTTTTGTTACATCGTTTTCTTAAAAACGATTTTAAAAGAATAATCAGATAAAACGGATCTGTACATTCGTGTATCTCAGAAGAGTCTACTCACATTAAACCACGTCAGATGCAGCCAAATATACGGATTAAGGGTGGCCATCTTCTGCATTCATTATCAGATTCTCATTTTTGAACAGCAATTAAAACTTGAATTATGCCAGAAATTCTGAACATAACAGAAGATAAACTTGTTAGAAAATGCAGTTTTCTCCACGGAAATGGAAGAACAGTTTGAGATAACGAATGAGAAGGATAAAAACGAGCAGAGTACACGGAGATTGGAAACACGTAGGACAGAGAGTATAAAGGTTAGCACATAGTTGGGAGGAAGTCATCAAGGGTCTTCCCAGAGACGACGAGAAGGATTGAAGGAAGTCCTGGAAGCCTGGAGTTCCTCCCAACCACGAGTCATTTAGCGAAGCTCCCTCAGGAGAAAGATACAGTACATTACTTCCATATTTGACATTTCAAATAACGCAATGCCCGTGGTAAATTTATCTTTCTAATGAAATAAAAGCATAAAAATGTGTGATTCAATGTACTAAGTACTAAATCCCAGTCTAATACTGTAGAAATATAATTAATTCTTTATTTGCACCTCATATTTAAAAACAATTGTCTCTTCCATAAACTGAGAATATCGAGCGAGCTAGATTACTTCAGCGTATGCACAACACAGTATTACATGTAGAACATAGACACAGCTTTTAAGGTTTTGACATAAATGGCAGAAAATAAACTTCACACAAACTCTGATGATCTATTGGTAAGCACACTAGCCTAACATATGAAACATTCCGAGTTCGAACCCCATCACTGTCGCTAAGAATAATAATAAAGTTATAAGAAATTTATCAGTATAACGACAACAGCCAACTCCCGAAACGTCGTAACATAATACTGGTGTAATGAAATGTCACCATTTACAGAATCAACATAATAAAATGCATAACGGATAATTTTATGTATATTTATGAGATGAGGATGACGCGTTAACCTTAAAGCACGTAGCCAAACGAGATTATGTTCACATATTAGAATGTAAATAAATTTGTTAAGCTGACTTAAAATCTAACCTACTTAATGTATGAGAAAAACAAAAAGAATGCCCCAATATAGGATTAACCCTAGACAAACCATAGAATAAAACACGGCGTCTTTACGCCATGTTGTTGTTCTGTTTCAAATTAATTCTGCTCACAAACCGAGTTAGCAGCTTCAAAGTTGAATGCCAACACCATAAAGATAAGAAATGCGTATCACATATTTTGTGCATGGATGCTTTGAAACTTATGTGCAAAATAGGGGAACAGTTGAAATAACATTAGGTACATATAATAAAGGCCCAAAATGCGGATATACGAATTCCGTACTGTTACACACAAGAGAGTTAATTGCGAGATCCCGACAAAACGTAAGAAAAGTGGAACGGAAATCATAAACGGCAGAGACGTCTGCGTGCATGTAAACAAAAAGTAATTGTTTTTTTAGTCCTTACTTCTTTTTTGTGTGTATCCTTTCTTCACGCCTTTCCTATTATCCTTATTTCTTTACTTCTTCCTTTTATTTATATATTTTATCTTATTTTAGCGTGACAGGCTAACACTGCGGGCTGCTACGAGTTAGCTTCATAATACAAAGTGTCCATAAACTAGTGGAAGAAGTAAAGGGCGTGTGATTATTTGTTTATAACAAATTCGAAAAAACATGTTTTTCGTTATGCTTTTCAAATCGTCCGCAAAATTATGGACACCCGGTATAAACTGCATGAACCAACAGCTTAGTACGTTAACTTCAGTCGCATCTCTTTGGGCCATATTTATTTTTACGTAATAAATATTTAATTTCAAAATTATTTGGTGCCTGCTGTTTAAAATACAGGAACAGTAAACATTACAGAGCCTGGACTGTTCTAGTGAACTTAACGGGGTTAATTGTAATTTGTAAAATATATGCAATGAGTTTAGGGACTACAGAGATCGCGAGTGATCCTTTAAGACACGGAAACCTGAGTTTAGATGGCTGGCTGGTGATGCGAGTATCTTCGTCGGGAATGCTTTGTATTCCCCCAGTACGTTTCAAATTCGCGGTGCGAACCGAGTCCCGGCATTGAGGTAAAATAACGACAAGACGAAAATATATTCCTTGCGATTTTGTGCGAGATTAGTAAAAGAAAGAAAGAAAGAAAGAAAGAAATCCTTTTCTGTAAAACGGATCTGTACATTCGTGTATCTCAGAAGAGTCTACTCACATTAAACCACGTCAGATGCAGCCAAATATACGGATTAAGGGTGGCCATCTTCTGCATTCATTATCAGATTCTCATTTTTGAACAGCAATTAAAACTTGAATTATGCCAGAAATTCTGAACATAACAGAAGATAAACTTGTTAGAAAATGCAGTTTTCTCCACGGAAATGGAAGAACAGTTTGAGATAACGAATGAGAAGGATAAAAACGAGCAGAGTACACGGAGATTGGAAACACGTAGGACAGAGAGTATAAAGGTTAGCACATAGTTGGGAGGAAGTCATCAAGGGTCTTCCCAGAGACGACGAGAAGGATTGAAGGAAGTCCTGGAAGCCTGGAGTTCCTCCCAACCACGAGTCATTTAGCGAAGCTCCCTCAGGAGAAAGATACAGTACATTACTTCCATATTTGACATTTCAAATAACGCAATGCCCGTGGTAAATTTATCTTTCTAATGAAATAAAAGCATAAAAATGTGTGATTCAATGTACTAAGTACTAAATCCCAGTCTAATACTGTAGAAATATAATTAATTCTTTATTTGCACCTCATATTTAAAAACAATTGTCTCTTCCATAAACTGAGAATATCGAGCGAGCTAGATTACTTCAGCGTATGCACAACACAGTATTACATGTAGAACATAGACACAGCTTTTAAGGTTTTGACATAAATGGCAGAAAATAAACTTCACACAAACTCTGATGATCTATTGGTAAGCACACTAGCCTAACATATGAAACATTCCGAGTTCGAACCCCATCACTGTCGCTAAGAATAATAATAAAGTTATAAGAAATTTATCAGTATAACGACAACAGCCAACTCCCGAAACGTCGTAACATAATACTGGTGTAATGAAATGTCACCATTTACAGAATCAACATAATAAAATGCATAACGGATAATTTTATGTATATTTATGAGATGAGGATGACGCGTTAACCTTAAAGCACGTAGCCAAACGAGATTATGTTCACATATTAGAATGTAAATAAATTTGTTAAGCTGACTTAAAATCTAACCTACTTAATGTATGAGAAAAACAAAAAGAATGCCCCAATATAGGATTAACCCTAGACAAACCATAGAATAAAACACGGCGTCTTTACGCCATGTTGTTGTTCTGTTTCAAATTAATTCTGCTTGTCTTTACACCATGTTGTTCTGTTTCAAATTAATTCTGCTCACAAACCGAGTTAGCAGCTTCAAAGTTGAATGCCAACACCATAAAGATAAGAAATGCGTATCACATATTTTGTGCATGGATGCTTTGAAACTTATGTGCAAAATAGGGGAACAGTTGAAATAACATTAGGTACATATAATAAAGGCCCAAAATGCGGATATACGAATTCCGTACTGTTACACACAAGAGAGTTAATTGCGAGATCCCGACAAAACGTAAGAAAAGTGGAACGGAAATCATAAACGGCAGAGACGTCTGCGTGCATGTAAACAAAAAGTAATTGTTTTTTTAGTCCTTACTTCTTTTTTGTGTGTATCCTTTCTTCACGCCTTTCCTATTATCCTTATTTCTTTACTTCTTCCTTTTATTTATATATTTTATCTTATTTTAGCGTGACAGGCTAACACTGCGGGCTGCTACGAGTTAGCTTCATAATACAAAGTGTCCATAAACTAGTGGAAGAAGTAAAGGGCGTGTGATTATTTGTTTATAACAAATTCGAAAAAACATGTTTTTCGTTATGCTTTTCAAATCGTCCGCAAAATTATGGACACCCGGTATAAACTGCATGAACCAACAGCTTAGTACGTTAACTTCAGTCGCATCTCTTTGGGCCATATTTATTTTTACGTAATAAATATTTAATTTCAAAATTATTTGGTGCCTGCTGTTTAAAATACAGGAACAGTAAACATTACAGAGCCTGGACTGTTCTAGTGAACTTAACGGGGTTAATTGTAATTTGTAAAATATATGCAATGAGTTTAGGGACTACAGAGATCGCGAGTGATCCTTTAAGACACGGAAACCTGAGTTTAGATGGCTGGCTGGTGATGCGAGTATCTTCGTCGGGAATGCTTTGTATTCCCCCAGTACGTTTCAAATTCGCGGTGCGAACCGAGTCCCGGCATTGAGGTAAAATAACGACAAGACGAAAATATATTCCTTGCGATTTTGTGCGAGATTAGTAAAAGAAAGAAAGAAAGAAAGAAAGAAATCCTTTTCTGTTCTATTGTTTGCTTCACACACACATACAAGAAAATGAAATTGGAAGTGAGTGAGAGAATTCAAGTTTGGATGCAAAATGAAATTCCTAGTCTTCTCCTACTTCTCCCTTTCTACTCGAAAATCGTTTTCTTCACAGATGCCTGAAGGGAAATTTTCAGCGTCCTGAATGCAGTCACTGACTTTGACAGACGTTCGCGTATTTGTTCCGCAGAAACTACTCCTGTGGTTGCAGACTGCAATTCGCGCTCCGGTAGGTCCACGTCTTGTTGAACTTCACTTTTAACTGCTTTCTGTTTAGACTACATTCCTAATGTTACACGGAAATACAGGTTTATGGAACCGCCATTCTCTTTGACTAGCTTCATGGTAGGTCCTTTAGGGACTTTATCAAGAGTTTACAGTTCTTGAGCTAGCCAGGAATTCCCCAACTTTGACGTAACCCCAAGGTATATTACAATATTCACAGAATCTCGCTACTAAAATCCATTCCCGTGTCACGTGAATCTAATCCAGATCCTCACATTCTTTATATCAAACTTTAATCTTAGTCTCCTAAGGTCTCTTCCCTGCGGGTGTTCCTACCAAAATTTTGAATTATTTTCTAGTCTCTGCGTACTGCATTTGCACCCTCTCATACAGCTTTATTCAATCTTAATATTTTCTGAAGAATACTTTATTATAATAATAATAATATGAAACACATCACTATGAATTTCCTTCGTCAATTTCTTAATCTGTTTCAAGGTAAGTCCTGGCCGAAGGATAAAGGAGAGTCTGAGGAAATCACAGCTGCCCGAGTTTTAATTAACTATTTTTTATACACTGAAAAATAACTAAAATTTATTCTTAGACGTTAAACATGGAAAACTGTCTGAAGAAACAACGGGAGCAGAAAAGATCATGTTTCACGACGTGCTGTAGGAAGAAATATCGTGACTCGCAGTGGCGTGCGCTGGTTTACAGAAATAAATAGACAAAAGGGCGCTGCTGAAATGACCTCTTGTTGCAAAGTGCCCCTCTGTCCCCGATCTCTATTCTTCGTCTGGTTTATTTCTCCCAGTCTCTTTTATACGACTCCTAGCGATATTCTGAGCAAATCTAATTATGCCACAAGACAAGATGTACATCTCAGTGAAGGAGAGTTTGTACGCAGAAGATATCCGAACTTGCATTACAATCGAAGCAAGGTTTAAAGAAGTAGACTGAGTAAAACTGACTTGGTTAAGGAGCAATGGAATTTATTTACCAGCTACATTTTTTCCCCTCCCAAAAAAGTTCCTTCGCAATGCATTTAATTAATTGGATTAAGATTTTAATGACAGAATTTAGAAAATATTTTGTCTTGTACATGTCAAAATATTTCTTCTAACTGGGATACTGGGAACGACCCGTTCTTCAAGTGCCTGAGCACTGCGGGTCCCAACTTTTCGTTGGCATGATCTATAGACATTTGGTAGGACTCCTCGGACGAGGGATCGGCACGTCTCAAGGCCTCTACCTGTACACAGGACAGCACAACACATAAAAACGAAGACAAACATCCATGGTTTGAGTTTTATCGAAATTTTTTAGATCGCACCTATTTTACATAACAGCCCTCATCAAAATACATCAGTGTTATTTCTTAAATACAGTCCTCGTTGAGAAACTAATAGTCGCTCAAGTAATTAATGCTTGCTATATGGGAGAATCCAGGTTCAATTATCTGCTATGGTGATTTATTTCCGTGATTTTCCTCGCTCCCTCCAGACAAGTACTTGGACAGTGCCTTAAATTAAGTCACAATCGCTTCCTTCCATATCCTTTACTATTCATTCATTAATCTTTCTATCATTCGACGCTATATATTCTGAGATAGTGACAGGTGCAGTTAAATAAAACATAAATAAATATATAGTTATATACCATCTGGTCACATACGATAGAGGTTGAAGTATTTCCATTCAGTACATGCTACATCACAAAAACTACCCTTCAATTACGCCTGTCGAGAGCAGAAGCTGGAAATGATGTAGTGGAATATCTTCAGTTCATACAAATTTGCAGAACATCTCGTGTGAGATCTATCTCAGGAAATATCACAAGTACGCCAAAGAACAATAGATCATGTGTGTGTGCCAGCTGTGTTCTCAGAAATATGAAATACGCACACAGCTATGTCTCCTCTCACTGAACTGCTCCATAATCACGTTCGAAGAGCCTGATAAATTCAGGCAGAAATCATTAAAATTAAATTGGCGTAATAGCACCGCATTATTGTCTGGTGGGGGAGGAGTGAATTCTTTCCGTGGCCTTGAAGCATGCAGATTGTGTTGTTCTCACCTCATTGTCCTTGTCGGCGTCTTTGATGTGCTGTGCTATGAAGCGCACTCCCTGCAAGGCAGACAGGACATCTGGTGACAGCTGGCGCGGCAAGGTGTTATCAGAGTCCGTCACTGTAACATAATGTCAGTCCTACTTCAGCAGCTCAATTATGGAACGTGCTCTGAATATAAATTAACTGCAAGCTAATAATCGCTGCAGCATACTACACAGTATCATTTCTATCTTACCTTATTTACCTGATTTATTGTGATATTATGTTCGTAGGCGTCTAGTCACTGAAAAACTACAAGCAGTCTCCTTTCTTAAACATAGTTTATAAACAGAGTCGCTACTTCCCGTAACTGCAAATGTTTTAATTATGGGTTAGGTCCCCGAACGACCGAAAAATTTCAAAAATAATTTGTAAATCAGCCTGGCCTGAAAAACACAGCGACGGAGACATTAAATTTTTAATATGCTATAAAAATACAGCTGAGTTTAAGGCGAACTGGTTCGTACAATTCTAATTTCACTGACTTTATCTAGATTCATGAAGCAAGTAATAGAAGTTTTCCATAACATAAAGTAAATTTAAAAAAATGCGAAAGAAAATGTTAAGTACGGGCATTGCCATGTATTAGAAAGTAAAATTTAGTGTAGTGGAGTGTTTTGTGAGAGTACTAAGTGTTTTATAAAACAAATGTTTCCATTATGAGACAGACCGAGTTCTTATGTCACCGCATTTCCGCAGGACCACCATAAATACGGAACTCCAGTAGACAGGTTCTACTTCTTAGGGTTTAAGACAGCTTATGCATGTATAGCCAGACAAAGAGGCGGACAGTTAAACGTCTTTCGTGAAAATAATTTACTTTAAATGTTCTTAATAAGGTAATATTATAAGTCAGATATTTCAGCTATATAACAAACTTCTTCATTTGCTAAGTTTAGAAGAAAACAAATGGATGCTATGTCTCAAACGAATGGTTTCTCATTTTTGGCTATTAACTACAACATATAATACACATTTAAAGCGATAAGACCTTTAATCACGTCATTTTACAGCTGACAGATAACTCTAGGCATTTATATAAAACAACACAACCTAAACAAACTATGTAATTTGCAAGACAAATTTATAAATTCTGAATTTTTACTACCAATACTTGAGCTTCTAAGGTTCATTTCACAGCCCCGATGTACGACTTTCAATGCAAAACTTTGTCTAATCTTTAAATTACACTATGTGACGCTATTAGCGGGAATAATTTGTCGCTATCAGATTTTGTAATGCTTGAATAGGGTGTTCCGAAATCGTTTTTGGACACTTGCCGATATTCTTTATTGCAGAAAATGTAATTTGCATTGCGCAACTGTCGAGTGACGCAGATACAAGTGTGCATAATTCCCGTGCAAACTGTACATACTAGGGGCGTATCGTCGGGAGATACAATGGTGGAGGATCAGGTCTGATACTTTAGCCAAAGGACGAGCACAAATCATGGATCTATATCTTGCCTCACTTAACTTAAACTCCGTGATTTTATCCCCCGTAAACGAAACATTAAGAAACCTATTTGTAAGCTAACTTTCGTTAATTATGTCTGTTATCACAAGATTGTGGAATCATTAAAGTCTACAATAGTATTTCTCTTCATAGAAAAGGCGAAATGTAGTTGGAATTTCGTACATTTCTGGAGACTGTTCCACTGTGAGAGTACTCTACTCTACTCTACTCTACTACACAGCACCAAACAAAATTCAGAGAACTTAAGAAATTAAGTTTCGGAATAGGTGTATAAGAAATCCAAAAAGTCGTTTACATAGTTTTCCATGCCTGGGGAAAGGAATTACATAATCGGTATTAACATTTTATTAATTTAACAAATGTAGGTACTACAGACTAAATAAAGTCGAATCAAATTGACGAAAAAGTTTACATAATATGAAGTTAGCCTAGAAATATAGATGGGGTTGCGCCTTGTAGACTTTTGGTCCTACACCAACGTTTCGGAGCAGCATAAAGCCATTATCTATATTCACATCGCCGTGAAAACCTCAAATCCTTGGCTTACAAACTTTTTTAAAATCATCGCTTAGGATGTAACATGTTAATCAATTCAACCGGAAGAAGTTAAAAGCTGGCAGATGTCAAAAACCACTTTCGAAGTTTATTGATTCCTGAAGCACAGGCCTACTGTGCTAAAGTCTAGGAATATTCCTTGTTCAGTGTTTTGAATTTCGTAAGTGATAAAGTAATTCTTCCTCGTTCATCATCGCGACTCTTCGAGATAATGGAAGGCAGAAGCAGATCTGTTTTATCTCGTCATTATTTCAAACAGATCGACAGTACAGACGTATAACTGTCTGTAAAGTTTCAAAACAACTTAAAATCACGTTCTTATTTGGCACGCTATCAGGCACAGGACATCGCTTTATAATTTCTTCTCTCATTCTGAGTACGTCTGACAACAGCCAGCATAGCAGGCATCAACATGATAATGAAATCCAAGGATTGTGATTTTCAAACTTTTACTTCATGAATTCCTTTCTTGAATAGCATGACCCTCCCTTCTAATTTATACTTCTCCGAGATCTTTCTGCTTCGAGATATCTACTTGACATGTCCCATCCCAAGTGAGCTAAACATGTAACTCAGGGAACATAGTTTTCTTGAGAAGATAATTGCTCAGTTGAGCAAAAAAATGTTATATTGTTTATGTAACCCGAAGGTCTATTACCGCGCTCACAAGAGACCACCACTGGTCACTGTCCTGGGTTATACATTCTAGTGCGCATTCCTATTCATCCTGTTTTACCTAGATACATTTTAATATTATCCTTACATCTTAGCTTAGGTCTTCAAAAATGTACATTCCCGCGACTGTTACCTGTACTAGGCCAAGTAAATCCAGTCTATACCCGTAGACTTATATCCTGTTTTTCCAAAATCCGTTTTAATATTATATTCCCATCTGTTCCTGTGTCTCCAAAGTGCTCTCTTCGCGCCACTTTTCCTATCGCTGGCTAGAAGAGTCCACTCCACACACGTATATTCCATCTCACACTGATCCACCGTAACAGTACCTTTCATCTACACCCAGGTTAAGAAGTGCTACCTTCCCTTAAAAAATTCTGTACGTATTTCTTATTTCTGTCTTACGTGACACATGCCTCGACCATCTCATTATCTGTTATTTGATAACCCTAATAACAATCAGTGAAGATTCATACTTGTACATCACACCCTTCTATCGCGAAATACATCGGCCGGAGATATTCTGCGTGTCCCCAAGGAGAATGCGAAAAAGTGTTTCATAAGCGGAACGCTGTTTGACGAGGGTCGAACGCTGAACTGGGATAGGCGGTATTGATGCCACAGAGCAAAGTAGGACTACATATTTCTACCTTCGTAACAGAAAACGCGAGATAGAGAGTAAAAATGTAGCCCCGACTGGAAACAAAACAGCAAGCAATTAAATCTTCGGGACGAACTCGAGTCGCCGGTTTGTCTCCCTAGATAACAGCTGTTTCCGCTCAACTATCTAGTGCTACATTAGGTCATATCCTTCTGTGGTCATGCTGATTTACTATCTGCTGTCTCTACCTCCTACACGTCTCTTCTCATCCTTCAATATCGCTGTTCTTCTGCCCACAGTGAACATGGAATGTAGAAAATGCTTGGCTTTAACAGCACTTCTGTCTTTGGTGTATCTTGTGAATGGCAATGCTGAGTGTCAAAAACGAGTGCCGTAAGTAAGCTACTATTAATACAGTTCAAGAACAAGTTTAAAGCCCGATGTTGGGGTTCCGGTTAATCACTTTCAGAAATTACGTTCAATGTAAATAAAAGTTTCACTAGTCTCATAACACTGTATTGAACGGAATGGTGGTCGTGTAATATGTAGGCTGTTCCTAATGAAGTCGTGTTCCAAATAAAACGCTAATTTCTCTCGAAACATTAAACAGACTTCTGCGATTGATCGAATAAACTTAGGCGACCAGCAATAATGTATTTTGGGTGCTTCACGTAACTCGCTAACTCCATGAAGCCGAGTCCTTGAGAGGCTGATAATCGCTCACCTGCTCAAGGGAAATCCCCCTTCCGTACGCAAAGAATCCTTCCACTCTCCAGTTCATTTGTATAATTTCGTAACATACATTTTACGGGACTTTTAGCCTCCCGCCCAGTCACCAGAATAGTACACCATCCCTTGTCGGCTATCCGCAGCCGCTTATTTAATTCAATTCATGTCAATTCAGTACACTTATTTACCATTAGTGTGCTCCATTAAAATACAGAAGGCCAATTACACATCTCTATAAATATTGACGTGTTTCATAAATATTCTTCAAATTCAACTCAACTACTAAACCTAACGTCGCAGCAGAGTAATTGGCACCCCTGTTTCGTACTCGGGAGGTCACGTATTCAAATCTCGTCCTGCAGACATGGTATACTAACTGAGATTTTCGTGGTTTATAGCAGTCCACCTGAAATAAAATCACTTGTTTCCACATTATTTCCAATTTCTTAATAATCAATAACTTTTTCTCTCGATAGTGTTCGCTATATGGAGCGTTGTTAATTAAATAATACAGAAATGACGCACATGTAGGTTTGTTACGTGGTTGGTCAAACATCCATGCAGAATAAATCTCGTGATGATACCGTCTTAGAGAGTTTGTGGGCTATTAATGAAATCCTGCAATACTTTGGAACACTTTCACTGTCTGATGCGTGATCTCTAACAGAATCCCTTGTGCGAGTCTTTCTTCTACACCAAAGTCACGTAATCTTGAAGTGTTTGAACGTGCTGATGGTTCGGTTTCAATTTAATTTCTGCAACACCTTTGTACCCCCTTCACGTTATTAATTTTGAAGTGCCAATTAAGGACCCCCTTACCTTGCTCAAACGCCAAACGAAGTCCTGCCATTAACAAGGAAATGTCATACGCTTATAGCTGGGTGGGAACTACGCTACATAGTAATCGTGAGCTATATTATTGCAGTCACTGTTAAATACAACCCAATGTCTGTAATTTTACACATGTTTAAATTGTTTAATTTTAACCGTCTAATCACAATAAAATATTTTATTAAATATTAAAATATTAAAATATTATTACTACAATTAACATTAAATATTTAAAATATTTAAAATATATTAAAATATATTAAAATGATGCTCCTTCTATCGAAATGTTCGATTTACAATTAGAGCATCATCTTTTCCACGACATGTTTCGGTTTTCAATGAACCATCTTCAGGTGTATAATCGATATAAATTCAAATGTAATATTCTAAATGCAATCCTTCGTCAGATGTCCATTAAATATCAGTTATCCTCTTCTAGATCAATTGTACTCTGTTATCACATTAAATGTTAATTGTAGTAATAATATTTTAATAAAATATTTTATTGTGATTAGACGGTTAAAAATAAAACAATTATCCATTTATGCGTATAATTTAAGACGGCTTGTATACCAAATATGGTACGTAGTATTTATTAGGTCACCTCAGAAATTCGCACCATTAATGTGACTGGAATCTTTTATCTACGGAGAGATTTCTAATTACAGATTGGCGTGTTTATGTCAATTACGTCCTTATATGCAACCGCAGTACATATTTTTAGTATTACTATGTTGAAAGTTGTATACATTTTATAGAAACAGCGTGCGTACTATACAATCATCTCCGCATTAGGAATAAATTATTTTCCATGTGTTTAATTAAAGACGCACAGTGCCATAAAATATTCAGAAAAAGTATTATATATGTTGCTTGTGCAATGTTTGCAAATTTCGTACGATGACCTTGATACAAGATGGCGATTAGTTGACAGCAGACAAAGTCTGACGATTCCATGAAATTAAATTGACTTTCCTAAAAAATAAATTTAGAACTATAAAAAAATAGTGAGAATCCCTACACTTTATTAAATAAATTTCCTTCTCTGCAAAAAGATTCAAGCAAGGTGACTGTACTAACATTTCTGTACTTATGTATTTCGTAGAGGGAAAACAAGGCAATCCCACCTTTACATTGCAGATTTTTACTATTTCTACATTCCAACAACTTCGTCTGCAGGTACACTAAATCGGAACATTTTTCCTACTTCAAGACCCACACTGAAACTTACAGAAAGAGTTGGTGTATCTTCGGTTGTAAGCAGACTAGAATTGCGAGGCTTGTCAAATGGGGAACTCGGGTAAGTTTTTCATTAAAGACCCGTGCTGTTCTTATAACGTACTGCGGTCAAAATATCCCCGGACTTGACTTAAGCACAGCCACTGTCAGAGTAATCTGACTGAGCCGCACACAGCTCACAAAGCTAAATTAAATTTTGTTCTTGGGTTAGCGTGCCGGACTCGTGAACAAAATGTCACAAGACTGGGACTTTTTACAGATTATTATAAACAATACACATAATGGCAACAGCAGTACATTGGTAGTAGCACGTATTTGCTTTTAATGGAAATATTGCTTTGTCTATGGCATTTGTTATTCTCTGCATCTCCCTGACAATGGCTCTTTCACTATGTAAATATTATGTTGGATACTGTGCAATTGTTTCAAGTATATTTAACGTAAGCGACGTTTCAGAAGTTAATTTTACAAACTTTTTGTGTTTCAATGTCATGACAATGACAGATTCTGTACTTCTCTTTTGTTTTTAATATTAGTAGAAACCACTGGAATCAATCCAAGGTACCTTCCAGAACTAAGTTACCGATGGTCTAGTGCATACCACATCAACTCATTTAAAAAGTCCTTGGTTCTATTTCAACCATCATCACTACATAACATAAATAAATAATAAAATGTATCAGTGAGACAAACAGTTACAATTAGTTTCTTGTTTTATAATTTCTAATTAAGCAAACTGTGAGTTAATTCGACAATAAAAAGAGTATGACGTTTTTGAGGTCGTGCATTCTGAAGTAATACAACTTTCCGTTTCAGACGTACACAGCTTATCGCTATGAGAAAATTTGCTGTGATGGATATAAGGAAATAAATTCTGTATGTAGCCCTATCTGTAATCCAAGCTGTGTTCACAGTCAATGTATAGCCCCGAACGTTTGCTCCAAATGCGATGCTGGCTACATGAAACACCCAAGCAACAATACGAGCTGCATACCTGTTTGCAGTTCTGGGTGTACAAATGCACAATGCACATCACCTGATGTGTGCACATGCAACAATGGCTACACAAAAGATCACAACAATAGCAACAAATGTCTTCCTATCTGTAGTCCGGCATGCATAAATGCACAATGCACATTACCTGATGTGTGCACATGCAACAATGGCTACACAAAAGATCACAACAATAGCAACAAATGTCTTCCTATCTGTAGTCCGGCATGCATAAATGCACAATGCACATTACCTGATGTGTGCACATGCAACAATGGCTACACAAAAGATCACAACAATAGCAACAAATGTCTTCCTATCTGTAGTCCGGCATGCATAAATGCACAATGCACATTACCTGATGTGTGCACATGCAACAATGGCTACACAAAAGATCACAACAATAGCAACAAATGTCTTCCTATCTGTAGTCCGGCATGCATAAATGCACAATGCACATTACCTGATGTGTGCACATGCAACAATGGCTACACAAAAGATCACAACAATAGCAACAAATGTCTTCCTATCTGTAGTCCGGCATGCATAAATGCACAATGCACATTACCTGATGTGTGCACATGCAACAATGGCTACACAAAAGATCACAACAATAGCAACAAATGTCTTCCTATCTGTAGTCCGGCATGCATAAATGCACAATGCACATTACCTGATGTGTGCACATGCAACAATGGCTACACAAAAGATCACAACAATAGCAACAAATGTCTTCCTATCTGTAGTCCTGCATGCATAAATGGGCAATGCACAGCACCAAATGTCTGCACGTGTAGTACTGGTTACGGAGAATACCTTCCGAACAGCAAGTTCTGTGTTGCCATTTGTAATCCACACTGCATAAATGGAATTTGTACGAAGCCCAATGTTTGCTCTTGTAATAGTGGCTACAGTAAAGATCTTATTATTAGTAACAAATGTTCACCGATTTGCATCCCAGCCTGTACAAATGGACAGTGCATTTACCCTAATATCTGCACATGCAACGTTGGATTTTCGAGAGATATTAATAATTCCAAAAACTGTGTGCCAGTATGTAGTGATGAATGTATAAATGGAATATGTACAGCTCCAAATACTTGCACATGCAAAGCTGGATTCATTAAGGATGGAAACAGTAACACAAAGTGTGTACCAGTTTGTGATCCTGAATGTATTAATGGATTATGTACCGAACCGAACGTATGTACCTGTGACGACGGATTTACAAACGACACAGAAAACACAACAATGTGTGTACCGGTATGTGATCCTGAATGTATTAATGGATTATGTACCGAACCGAACGTATGTACCTGTGACGACGGATTTACAAACGACACAGAAAACACAACAATGTGTGTACCGGTATGTGATCCTGAATGTATTAATGGATTATGTACCGAACCGAACGTATGTACCTGTGACGACGGATTTACAAACGACACAGAAAACACAACAATGTGTGTACCGGTATGTGATCCTGAATGTATTAATGGATTATGTACCGAACCGAACGTATGTACCTGTGACGACGGATTTACAAACGACACAGAAAACACAACAATGTGTGTACCGGTATGTGATCCTGAATGTATTAATGGATTATGTACCGAACCGAACGTATGTACCTGTGACGACGGATTTACAAACGACACAGAAAACACAACAATGTGTGTACCGGTATGTGATCCTGAATGTATTAATGGATTATGTACCGAACCGAACGTATGTACCTGTGACGACGGATTTACAAACGACACAGAAAACACAACAATGTGTGTACCGGTATGTGATCCTGAATGTATTAATGGATTATGTACCGAACCGAACGTATGTACCTGTGACGACGGATTTACAAACGACACAGAAAACACAACAATGTGTGTACCGGTATGTGATCCTGAATGTATTAATGGATTATGTACCGAACCGAACGTATGTACCTGTGACGACGGATTTACAAACGACACAGAAAACACAACAATGTGTGTACCGGTATGTGATCCTGAATGTATTAATGGATTATGTACCGAACCGAACGTATGTACCTGTGACGACGGATTTACAAACGACACAGAAAACACAACAATGTGTGTACCGGTATGTGATCCAGATTGTATTAACGGAACATGTGTGTCTCCAAATACATGTGTATGTAAAAGCGGTTTTCATAAAGACGCTTATTATACTTACAAATGTGTGCCGAAATGTAAAGAAGGCTGTTTAAACGGGGTATGCACGGCCCCAAATTTCTGCACGTGTAATCCTGGGTACGCCAAAGATACAAGGGAACTTTACAAATGTTTACCAGAGTGCCATGACGGATGTGAAAATGGTGTTTGTGTAGCGCCTAACAATTGCACTTGTCATGACAAATATATACATCACACACGCCATAACATCTGCACTGCAAAGTGTCCAGATGGATGTGTGAACGGGAAATGTACCGATTACCTAACATGTAAATGTGATAAGGGGTGGACAGGTGTCAACTGCTCGAATGCAGATTTTAATTCTGCATTAAGAAGGTGAGTAAACTGTCCTAATTTCAGATAGTGTTTACAATAATATTTTTTCCAAATACAAAGAAACTGGGACAAATGCATCTTATTTAAGCAGAAGGAAATATTTATCAAGACTTCAATTGAACGATACGTATATTTCAATTTCCAATATGAATTGTTTATCACATTGTATTCCATATTTTGTTTCTTATTACCAACTTAATATCAGTACAGATTAACTAATAATACTACAAATTTCCAAGTACGCCTACACTAATAGTGGAAGAAGCAGCTATAAGCAAAATTTGGAAAGTTGCTGGCTTTCTTTTGAAGATTCGAAATTAATACACTGTGATTCACATACTTTCTGTGCGTGAAATGTGTGTGCAATTACAGAAAATATTAAAAATGTCTCTGCTTTTATCAGATTTAGGATATGTAAATGAGGTAAGAAACAGTGCATGTGCATTCCTCCAAAATGTTGAATGCTGAATTGTTCCTGAAGAAAGGGTACATGAATATGACAAATTTACTAGTACTGACACTGAAGGCTTAATTTCCCCTATTAAATTTATTTTACTGGTACAATCATCACAGAAACCCACACAAACTGACACTGAAGGCTTAATTTCCACTATTAAATGCACTTTATTGGTACAATCATCACAGAAACCCACACAATATTAAGTGGCTGATATTCCATATAATCGAAGTATCATTCTGCTAACAGATTTTTGCCCGGTGGAAAGTTTCTTAATCATCCGTTCGCTCTGTGGTTGATTGTTGTGCCACTGCTAGTGGTAGTGATCCTCATTGTTCCTGCAGTGATGAGATTCGTTACATGGAAACGTACACTGCACATGGACACGTTCTACTGTGACCACATGGCGACACAAGGTTAGTTCACCATCGCCAAAGACTAGTTTATCACAAATACGTGTAGAACGCTTTATAGAGTTACGAGGACGTTTAAGTTTTGCTATTTTATTGTGAAGAATAATAATATATCGTAACATAATTTTTCTGTGTAAGATTTGAGGTTTTCACCTCTGAAACGTTGGTAAACATCGACCAGACTACACAGCGCCACAACCCAGAAGACAGAAAACTTCATACTCATCGCCCTGATGATGGAGGCAGTATGACCTCTGAAACGCTGGTTAACATCGACCAGACTACACGGCGCAACAACCCAGAAGACAGAAATCTTCATACTCATCGCCCTGATGATGGAGGCAGTATGACCTCTGAAACGCTGGTTAACATCGACCAGACTACACGGCGCAACAACCCAGAAGACAGAAATCTTCATACTCATCGCCCTGATGATGGAGGCAGTATGACCTCTGAAACGCTGGTTAACATCGACCAGACTACACGGCGCAACAACCCAGAAGACAGAAATCTTCATACTCATCGCCCTGATGATGGAGGCAGTATGACCTCTGAAACGCTGGTTAACATCGACCAGACTACACGGCGCAACAACCCAGAAGACAGAAATCTTCATACTCATCGCCCTGATGATGGAGGCAGTATGACCTCTGAAACGCTGGTTAACATCGACCAGACTACACGGCGCAACAACCCAGAAGACAGAAATCTTCATACTCATCGCCCTGATGATGGAGGCAGTATGACCTCTGAAACGCTGGTTAACATCGACCAGACTACACGGCGCAACAACCCAGAAGACAGAAATCTTCATACTCATCGCCCTGATGATGGAGGCAGTATGACCTCTGAAACGCTGGTTAACATCGACCAGACTACACGGCGCAACAACCCAGAAGACAGAAATCTTCATACTCATCGCCCTGATGATGGAGGCAGTATGACCTCTGAAACGCTGGTTAACATCGACCAGACTACACGGCGCAACAACCCAGAAGACAGAAATCTTCATACTCATCGCCCTGATGATGGAGGCAGTATGACCTCTGAAACGCTGGTTAACATCGACCAGACTACACGGCGCAACAACCCAGAAGACAGAAATCTTCATAATTTTTCTGTCTTAAAATTTTGATTAAATATGCTGACAATTAAAAATTTAGAATTAATCAGTTAGGTCTGAACATAATATTATTGGTAGGATAATTTTTGAAGATAATTTACTTTGCTGTGATATATTAGCAATATAGACCTACTGTTTTGTTTCAGATGCGGTTAATTGCGAAAACCTACTATACAGCGTAAGCGAGAGAGACGAAATCCCGATAATAGACAAAAACAAAGAGATGGAACAAGAAGCTGAATATGACTTCAACTATCCTGTTGCAAGCTCATGTCGTCTGAAAAACAAAGAAGCCGAAGATTCTACATAAAGCAGCCTCTTTAAAAGTGGTTTAACTTTAGGCTGTCTCACGCTGCCCTGTTATTACAGCCTATTTATCTCAATGCCACAAAAAATCCCTATGAGTCATATAGGAATGCAGCCTATGAGTATTAATATGTAAATTCAGTGACACAGCAGACATTTATACGAATAATTAATTCTAGATAAAATAAATAACACCGAAGAAACCAGCAAGCGCTAAACCAGTTCAACCTGATGAAAGATCTATGTGCTACCAATTTCGAATGACTTTGAGGCTTTTCGTGTATAAGATACAGCAAGATAAATAGGCCTATTTGAATGGTAATGTTTATAATTAACGACCGTGGCCTATTTAACCTTCACGCAAGCAAGAATACTGATATTACAGCCAGAAAGAATGAAACGGTAGCATGTACGTCCTTTCCCTTCATATTAATTTTATCAAACTTTAATGAGACACAAGGATACGAAAGCGTATGGCTAATTCTATTATTATTGTTATAAAGAATTATTGTTATTATTATGTTCTTACGAAAACTAAAAAGTGTGTGTTAATTTACAATTACGAGAAAAGCAAATATTCTACGCTTGTTCTTTAATGAATGATAATGGATAACAAAATATAAATAACTATACAGATCAGGAAGAAAATACATTTTATTTCCGCATGAGCTTGTGTACATATATACCAAGTGCCAGCAAAAATGAAGTTAATAATATTTAATAGCATGCTAATAAATGCCTACTACTATAATAATAATATGTCATAGCTATAAGCAGCAGTGTTATTTTCACACATACTTCCCCCCATACTTCCGGCAAGCAGCTTACAAATGTTAATAACCAGCTAAATCACTTCCCTGAAAGACATCCTTGTTTAAATTGGTCTCCTCTCTTGATACGGAATTAAATAAATTATAAAGCTATTATTGCTGCCAATAATTTTACTGTCTAAACTAATAAACTGAAACTGCGAAGTCGTCTTTAAGTTTATTTCAGGTGCATAAGAAATAGGATTTACGTAATGCACTGGGGCACGTTTACAGATACAATTTTAGGCCACTTTCGCCCTACCTGCACACGGTTCACCAGCGGTGATTTTGACAAACCGGACGTAAATCTTACGGCCCACACACTTTCCTACATACAATAGCAGGGCCTGGCCATAAACAGTACACGTGACTCTGTGCGCCGCAATGCAGAGACCACAGGGCTCACTTCACCACCTGATCTGAACTACACCTGCTTATTTTCCTTCACTGATAAACACGACAATGTTAGTCGTAAAATTCACAAAATCATCATGTCGGTATACGTTTTAAATACATCTTCAGAATTAAGTATATACCGGTAATTCATACACGTTTGAACAAACGTTGATGTTAGGTTTAAACCAAAAGATAAATTGAAATAATAAATCTACTTACGTCTGGATTTACTACCGTCTATACATTTAAGATACTATGTAGTATAAAGCCTCTGAAACTCCACACAATAAAAATATACTCATGTGTCATACAAATGACGTCATCTTGAATACAGTCCATTTTCACGTAAAAGATAAATAACTAAAATGAAACAAAATAGGTCACTGCGGCGACAGAGCGTACTGCTGTCTCTGATAAACTAGGGCCACTGATTGCAGTCTTTGCTTTCTTCCTATTCTTTTTTGTAACATTTATAAAATTGCAATCTTACATTGCACTTAATAAGTACGCTACGCGTAACGTGTAACATAATCACAGAATACCAAGGCGCTACAACATTAAGGAATGTCTTTCTGTTTAAAACTAAAGGGCACAGACCGTTGTCTTTGTTTCGATACCGGCGTGCCTTTACGTTTCACTAAGTTTTCTATTTTTACATCGCTGGAAATGGAGATAACAATTCTGCATAGACTAATATTTTATACACAAAACTGTTCCAACTGCTAGATTTGGTTATCTTCTATTCATTTTTTGTAATAACGGTTCATTCACATGCTTGCAACACGCGCTCTGTCTGCGTTCTGACCGTCACTGCAGTTTGCAACGAGAACACGGATTTGGTATAAATTTTGAATATATAAATACAATAAAACGATAGAATCAGTAGCACAGATTTGTCCGCCAAATATCACCGAAATCAATACTGTATTCTACCTCATATAATCAATTGTGTGACGAGCTACATTACCGAATTCATTCTAGAAATATAATGTAAAGTGTTTTATTAATCAAAATTGTTCTCCAGATAATTGCTTTCTTACGTAAAACTACGTTTGTTACAAAGATTTCCTGACGCTTCTAGAATTATTATATACTTTATAGACAAATAATTTCAAATGCAGTTTTTATATATTTCTAAGCATCTTCATTTCCTGAAATACTCTTCTATAGTTGCAAGTCAGAAGTTTTGTTAGGTAAACTGAAAACGAGGAATGTAGTTTAAAGTCTGCTCAACTGCCAAGTAAGTTGTTCTGAAGCCGACCTACGGTACGTCATGCGTGGATTACCACCACGCTACATTTCATTCAACCAGTCGAGTTAGTAAGCTTGTTCCTTACAGCCAATAAATGAACCGTGAAAGTATCAAAGTAATACAGAGTGGTTCAAAAGTCTTTGCATTCTTTGCCTGGATATGAAATGTGTGATAACTATTAACTTAATTAATGTTAATTAAAGCTACATACATATGTTTATGTACCTATACGAATAATATAAATGTATTTTAGGTCTTATCAGACCCTAGCAATGAGCTCGCACAAGTTCAATCAGATCCTTAAGGAAAAGGCAATTGAAGTCATTTATCCAAACTCACACTTGGTAAAAATCGTAGAATGTATGTTTCATTAATACCTGCCGAAGGATTAAAAGCATATGCCTTAAGGATAGGACCCTCAAGGTGACTAGTAGTGCACTTAATCCACATATTATAACAGAAGTAACAGTCATTATATAGACGTATCAAGTTTTAACCACGTTTAAATAAAGCTGAGAGCAGGGACTTACCGGATGAATGTGGCTGGTGCTGCCTGGTTTCTTCGTCCTGGCTGAGTACCGTCTTGTACGCCGTTGATACAGATTCAAACCCTGGACTCCCTTTAATTTCCAATGGATATGGGTCGCTTATGCTGTCCCTAAAATATAACATACGAAATTGTCTTCACATAAGAGATCTTGGGTACTCACGCCGATGAAGATATTAATGTTGATCTCGGGTTTTAACGCCATATCAACTCCTAGGCAGCCCTGAATATGGAGACAGCAAGTTCCTCTGAAACGTACTGAAACGTTGGTATCTACCCAGAAATCCAAACGGCGTTACAACCCGAATACCGACAGCATCAAACATGGTAAATCAGTAAACAAACATGCATTTTCTAAAAGAAGTTTACATTAACCATTTGAAGCCGAAGTTCGTCTAAGCAATATTTGTGAATTCAGTTTTTACAGCAAAGAAAACACCACAATGATCAAGTGCATAATGATATTGAAATAAATAATCCGTGTTCTTCGAGGTGGTAAATAGGGCGATACGTCAAGATGAGCCTTTTTTTAATCAGTCCCTCCTCAAGGGAAGTCCCTGCTGTGTAAACCAAGCTGATCCCACTCTTTACTCCCATGATACATTTCAAGAGAAAAATGAGGCAATCTCCGAGGAATTTGTGCTACGTGAAAAGTCTTATTTTGAGGCCCGTGTAGAAACTGCTTCATCCCCGAGACAAATTGCTCGAGTCCGACATCAATCTGTCTTGTGACGTCTTGCTCACCCGCTCCTTCACGTTTCACTCTTAGTTTTGCCTCGAATAGTTTTATACTTCTCCATTCCTTTTTGTGACGTTAGTATCTTCCCCTTCTGTACTTATTTAGCTTAGTTTCTATGGTCATTTTACGTCTAAAATATGAGACACCCGATTCCAAAGAAAAGACTTGTTATTTATCAGATATCACGATATCAACTCAGCGTATATCAAATGTATATCCATTATTATCAAAAAAATAAAATACTGGTAAAATGCTGCTTCTCCGCCATACATTATTCTGATGTATCGTGTTAAATGTTTTACACTGATCTGGCAAGATTTGTTGACGTTTCCAAGACTCCTTTTCTTTGATTGCACTTTATTATAATCCTACATCTATAGGAATTTCTGTATAATATTGTAGATTTAGTTTTATTTCCATTTTATTCAGTATAATGGTATTCTCATCAGGTCTAATCTACATCATCTTTTCATGACGAAAATAAAAATCTTGCCCTTCCTGGAACCCGAACCTCTATTGTATATTTCTTTGGCGCATTCTTAACTAAAACTTCCAAACAGGCATGTATCTTCACCTCGTTCGTCTGTTTGTCCGAATGTAACAGCTCGAGAACGGCTAAATGGATTTACATTTAATTTAACGTTTAAGAGCTATACTAAGATGTGTCAAAACATCCTCATTCTAGTTAACATCGTATAAAAATAACAGGCACTTTGCATAAAGAATCGCATGTTTGTACGCGGGAATCCCCTGTCACCAAAGCAATTCTGATGGCGATGGAACCATTCGCAAATGTCACACATCAAATTCCAAAGCTCTGATCACATGGCATCGACATTTGTTGGATAACGAGGTCGTAGATGGCTGGTGTAAAACGTCGCTGCAACGAAATAAAGATCAGTAGTGAAAGCACTACTCTTCAGTCCTTAATTCCTCTGCTTTTAGCTGTCATGGGGCAGAAGCTTTCTCTTCGAAACGATGTAGAGAAGCAAGAAACAAAACTTGTGTCCTTTTCCTTCTGCAGAGCATTAGCTTCTTTGTCAGTTATGGGAAGATTAGTGTCTGCTAATGGTACAAACAACTTTGAGAGACGTGATATTTTGTTCTGCCCTCTTTGGCGATTAGGAAGTTTTTGTCCCATAGTTTCTGCTCTATAAAAATATTTACTAATTTTACCTTAACAAAAATTAAGTTTCCACAGGCTCACGGTTTTTCATAAATATAATTTTTTTGAGAACTAACATACAACAAAGAGGATTTCTTTTTGTGGATGATGTAAAGCTTTAATTTACAATATATGGGTTATCCAGTAGCCTACTTCACTCATCAAAAAACTTTCACGACCAGTGGAATTACGTTCAAGGTATAAACATAAGAAACAAATTCAGATCATGACAAAACCAAAAGAGCTCATATGTGGTAATGTCTTGCACTTTCAGGATCTTCGAAAACTAGTTTTACTAGGGCACTGACCTCATAGGCATATAGGGTGCACAACAGGATATGATTTTTGACTTACCACATATTACAATATTTATTTTGCAAGTGTTGCAACAACTGGTCAGCTTTTGTGAATAAGCCTGTTTCTAAAGGAGATAAACATAAGAAAGATGTGCAGGAATGGAAGGAAGATGACGGGGAACGAGGTTCTCGGTGAAAAATTACTCACCGCTGGATTTTAATGGGTTTTTGCATCATTATCTTTACTGCCAAGATTAACATTCCTATTTCGCGTATTTATTCTGAGATATTTATAATTAATCGACCTATTAATAGAGCAATAATGTGGTGTAAGCAGTTCATCCATCCTCTCCGACAACCGTGGGTCAAATATATTGCAGTTTCCCTCTTGCCCTTGCAGCAAACGCAGAGACATTAATGGAACGCAGACCACAACGGCTATACTTCAGCTCTTTTCTATTTATAAATAGGTCGATCCAAATCATCGACTAAATAGTAAAAGTCTGGAGAGTTTAACTACAGTGTGAATGATCTTCCTTCAACAGGTCATAGTGATTTTTCTAGTCAAACTTCGTGGCGGAGCCCCTGCACTATGAAAATCACGAATGGGCGGCCTAGAACGTCCTTGTTCGCTCACTGCCTGGACTGCACTCATAAATAGCACTTACTCGTTGCTAATGCTCCTAGCGCTGAACTGTAATAGCCTTTCGCATCTACCCAGTTATACGATGCAAATTCAATTTCAAAACGAAACGTATACTGCATCTGGTCGTTCATTAATTCATATACGGACATCTGCGGTAGCTAATTATTTACCTGTGTAACCGAAAAAAAAACCTACTAACAGTGAAATCATAAAACTAATTATAGATGTAACCATTGACCACATGGAAAGGGAAATTAGAGCCGAATTATGTGAAACTGGGCATGTAATGAGTGAGTCTTCAACAGGATATCATGAGAGAGAATGGATATTTTGTGATTGATAAAGCAGTCAACTGTCCGGATACAGCTGTGACGCTTCGATCGGCCTTGGGCGTTTTAATCACATGTTTGTCACATAGAGGAATACACATTTAGACGCAGTAAAGTTATTCTCCCATGCGTCTTCGTATTTTATGCCAAAAATAACGAAAAACGTTTAAACCTATAAAGCACTCTACCATTGATTTTAACACTCAACAATAATTCCACCTTCCCCACGGAATGTATTCGTGATTTTTTAATTATTCTCCGAACAAACAGGGATACTTTATTTAAACACCATTAAAAAATTGGTGTTTTGCGCCGGAGAAAAATTATGTTCGCTTTCCAGCAGAAATTTAATTTTTATATATTATATATAAATGCTTCAGTCTTCAAATGGTTCAGTGGACGTTTCATTGGTGCTTGCTGCCTCCATCATAAGTGCGATCGCCAGCACCTCTGAAACGAAGATAGCCTTCTACCAGACTGCACGGCGAAACAACCCAGAAGACAGTCATCTTCATATTCGCCGCTGGATAAACTCAATCTAACAAAAGTCACTTTACTGACTGAACCATAGGCACAGGGGACAAACGCGTATTGAACGAACGAATTTCTTGTTTCTAAAATTTATAGAAATTATGTAGTTTATTAAATTACCTGACGTCCATTTCGTTGGTATTGCCGTTGTCTGAAAAGTTTGTTTCTTCGATATTTTCCCGCGACGAATAATGTGGTCGGCGCATCATAAGCAATCGGGGCATGAAATTTAGGAAGACACGCTTCACCCACGGAGACATCTTGTGCGTGGAAGAAGAACTGAAACAAGCGATAAAAATATATTCCACGACTGTAATCTTGAGACTTGCAAGGAATGCATTAAGTCCGTAGCGTTAAAGGCAGACGCTATCTTTCCCCCTTCCTCCACCCCACTTCCTCCCCCCGCAAGTCTCAAGATTACAGTCGCGGACTGTACCTATTCAGTCAATACATCCATCTTATACACGAAAACAGTTTTGCGCTGATATCTTCCACAGTGAAATATTTAAAACTTAACCCAACAGCAAACACTCGCTGCGTTACAAAAATTAAATAGCCATCAACGCCACCTGCCAGCAACACACCGTAACATTGATTCAAGGTCACCTTGGTTGCTAGGCCGCTGGTCAAGCCAGTTGAGCAGTAGCTATTCACGAGCGAAATGTTTGTTAAGATGTGTCATCTGTGTTGTAGCGCAGTGTAGTCTGAGAAGTTCACCTCACGTTTAGTTTAAGTTTCAGAGGTCCTTACTGTCTCTATCATCACTCATTTCTCTAAAGATCGACGCAGCAAGGGCCTCTGAAACGTCGGTAAACTTCTATCAGACTACACGGCCCAACAACCCAGAAGACAGCCATCTTCGTACTCACCGGTGAAAACGTCTAATCCTACTTGAAACGTGTATTCGTTAATGACATTACTTCGCATGGAAATCATTTGTCTATTAAGGATTTTAACAATTCGTATCCTGAAGAACAAGTGCTGAATAAAACAACAATACGCCGAGTGGTAATGAAATTACGGAACACAGAATGTGTTTGCGTTTGACAAATGCCCTCATTTGTTTCGTCGTTTTGTGCATGAACGGGTTCATCTAGCAGTTAGGGTTGCGTTTTGAATAAAATATTCTGTAGTATTAAGAAACTGTCAGACATATTTACTTTTGACAGCAAGTGACAAACACAGGATTACCAAAATCATTCTCTTGATTCAGAGTGCAGAGTTCAACTCCTGTGAAACCAACATCTAGTGTAGTGTTGCTTGATATGCTTTTGTAAAATACTCTACTTCATGATTTGTTTCCTAAACCAATTTTAAACCATTTTGATTAAATTAATTAATTTCGCTGTTGCCACTGATGATGATGATGACCTCTTGAGGTTGAAACGCGTTTGGCAATAGTGTCTTTTTTATGGTGTTAATAGTTTGTTTGCTTGCTTATTTTATATTTTGATTCAGAATTAAACTTAAATGTTGTGTTTTCCCACAGCCCTTCATTTGAATAAAAATAATGTGGTTTGCAAATGCAGTGAGGAATGTAGATGAAATTGACTAGTACATTTAACGAACGCTTGAAAAAAGAGGCAGAAGATCATTGTGTCCACTTAACTGAAGTTCAACGCGGCAGAAATCCAATTCGTAAGATCGTTCAATGGATTTATAATAATTGCCAAGAGATCAGAAACGATTTGGAGAAATTTAAAACGAATAAAAAAGAAAATTACAAAATTCAATAGCTATAACACAGATAATATTAAAACAGACATATCATGAGGAAAATAATACTTGGTTCGATCGCGTAAACGACGAAAGTCTGAAACCGGAATATAAAGACTCCAGCTCCTGTAGTGAAGATAATGTACATCGGAGTCTGTCACTTTTATCGAATTACAATATTTCACGTGTTTCAATGCTCATTCTATAGAAATGCAAGTCTACATTTCTCTCCATAAATGACAACTTCAGAAATTTTAAATGTCAATGAAGAATTCTCGTTATTTCGCATGGGTCCACTATTATGATGATGTCAGCGTCTGATAAATTTTAACAATGTTGTCTGCGGTAACGCAAGGAAAATCTCAATACTATGTTGGTGTAAAGTTTCTTTAACAAGATGATAGACGAGTATGCCTGGAAAAGAGACTGGCTGCATCTGAACCACACACAAAGGACATTTTTCTCCATCCTTACTGCACTCATTCAAATTCCATATCCCCTTCCACAATCCAATTTAATTTATGTGTTACTGTACCAGTCGTGCTGGAAGGCTTTGGTTCGATTACAAGTAGGGGCGAGGATTTCTCATCCGATCACCTCGTTAAGGCCGCTTTTGAAGTCCATCCAGCCTCGTATCCAGTAGTTACCGCGGGGGAGGGGGGGGGGCGTTCCGGGAGCAAAGCTGACCACACTCCTCTCGAATTTGCGATGAAGTTAAAAATTCGTGGAGCTATACCTCCACTCGTCCGTACAATTTGTGTCGTGATGCTTAATTAAACAGAGAGATAGCATCCCTTCAATGAATAGTTATATACCCTTGATTCTCTCAATGTCTTTATAAATAATAAATACAATGATGTTGATTGCATGTAACTCAATACAGACCTTACAGGGAAGAGATATTCGTTTACCTTCTTCAAGTCCAAAGCCTTGGATAAAAATACGGAATATGCTGTTTATTTTTCTGTGATGAGTTACTAGCTCCCCGCCCAAGGCCCCACGCTAGAGAACCACCCCTTGTTGGCCGTCCACAACTGCTTATTCGATTTCTTAGCAGTCATATTTTATTGTTAATCGTCAGACAAAGCCACCACAGCTGTAGTCAATTTCATCTTTTGTATCTTACTTGTGGGAATACCCAGATGGGAAGAACTACTTTATAGACCTAGCAGTAGAGGGATAATATTAAGACGGATCTTGAAAAAATATAGCATGACATTAAATACTGCACATATCTGTTTGAGATCTGAGGTTCACACGGCTGCTAACATGTTGATATCGGTCCTCTTGGTAGTAACGTCATGTGGACATGAAGATGGAGGCAGCATGTTTCTCCAAAACGTTGGTATCTACCTACAAGTCCACACCCTTAAGACCGACATCGCCACTAGATACATCTGACTCAGGAGGAGGACGAGTGGCGGACTGTAGCATACATCGTAATGAACTTTTAGGTTCTTTAGAAGGCGTAAACTCCTTGACTAACTGAGCGACGAATAGCTTCTGAAGAAAGGTACTACTGCCTTTCTTCGTTATACGACAGGCAAATCATTTTGTCACCAACACTTTTGTATGAATAGAAATTCTAATATTTTCGGTCGATTACCAAATCGATACAGCACGTTCCAAGTAGAACTATAAACATATTAAAGTTGGATTTTAGATTCTCACGGCCCTGATGATGGAGGCAGCAAATGGCCTCTGAGACGGTGAACGTCTGCTAGATTACATGACGCTGCAACTAAGAATACAGCGATCTTCGCAGATAAAGTTCCTGGGTTTTAAACTTTATATTAGGGTCCTGTCGATCCATGACGTAATCTAGCCTTATCGGCATTAAAATCTCGTGAAAAAAGGACATGAAAGTTTTTGTGACGTTAGGTAAATCTTTGGGATTGTAACGTAAGTCTCAAAGCCCCATTGGTGGCGCAGTGACACGTGTGGCTTTGATCTTTTTTTTTCGTGAGCTGACAGGAATGCAGTATACAGACCTACGATTAGCGCAAGTTTTAGAAAACAGCTAATGCCGATAACGTTTGTGTTTGCAGTGAGCTGACAAATAGTTGTGTCTACAGAGTCGGGTAAATGTACAGCGATATCATGGGGATTGATCGGGTTGCTAAACCTGGCCAGCATTTTCTTCAAACATGAGAATCCTTACTTCCTCATACAGTCGGGTCCAGTTTCTGCCCCTCGGATTCCATATTAAATTTATTAATATCAGTGTAGCTTGTCAACTTTGTCCACTACACAAATTACAAGAATTGTGGAAACTCCACACTACAGAATCTTATACTCCCTCAACATCAATTTTTAAAATTCGACGTTCCCCAAGAGGTTTACTCGCCTAAATCTTAGTGCAATTCTTGCAACCCCATCTTAGCTGCTACCTCAGCCTGTCTAAGCCTCCTAGACTCAAAACAACTTAAAACTGGAGGGCGAACGGAACAAAGCAATTTTTTGAATGGGACAAATCCTTCACCCGGTCTGATGAGACTCAACACGAAGCTGCCAGAATTAAATCTCTACAATTCCAAAGTACCAACAGAATCTCTTAGTGATTTTGTTCTTCGTTTTAATTATGCTAGGCCTTTAAGTACATTCCTATACAAACAGAAAATGCTCAAAACGTCAAAAACAATTGATGTTTTCGTGTTCAGATTAAGCCGGGCATCGCAATAGAGATAAATACCTAACAAAGACACCATTGTCACTTTTGTGACGATTTGTTGATCAAACTTGTAGATTTTAATCCTATTAAGGAGGAACTACCTAGCATTTGATATTTCGTAACAAGAAGTCTTCTCTCGAATTAATTCCTCCTCGCTAATTTTCTTGAAAGGAGGTTTAATCTTATTTTATATCTACTTCTACCACGCCTCTCCTTTCCTTTCGGAACACTTGTTCTTGTGTCACATTAAGTATTCCTGTCTCAACGCGTCCATTATTAAGTTCAAAATGTAGACTACTTTGTTACTCGGTTTTTTGTTGTAACTCTGACGTCATGCTCAACAGGTGAGATTGTAGCGTGATCTGCACTTTTTAGGCGTTTGTATGTGTACAGTTTGCAGCGAAAAGAAATTAGAAGCTTTATGACCGCAACTGTAAACTCGGCATTGTCTCTAGTTATATATATATATATATATTTCCCTAGCCTAATGTTCGCACACTGCATCTGGAAACCACAATCATGCTGTTAAAACCTCAGTGAAACGTAACTTCAGTACCGGCTGAAAAACTATATTTTGTTGTGTCCATCTGAGATATTCAAAACATCGTTAAATAAACTATAAAAATGCATGCAATGTCCCGCCTTCAGCCAGTGTAGTGACTACGGTGCGGGCTGGATGACCAGGGTTTGATTCCCGGCACCACAGAAATTTCTTTTCACCAGAACTTCCATGCCGGCTTTTGGGCTAACCCAGCCAATCCAATAGGTACCGGTTTCTTTTTATACCGGTAGAGCGACAGAGGCGCGAAGCTGGCCACTCACTTTCTTCCAGAGCGAAGGTTAAGAATGCCTGGAGTTAACCTCCACTCCCACATACGTCTACGTGGTGTAGTGCTTATTAATAATCGTTGAAGAAATTATACAATTTGAGCTTAAAAATTTACATTTTTCTGGGGCGACAATAGCAGGTAAGCGTAACTCAAAAACAGACACGTTTTAATGTATTCGTATCTGGAAAATAAATTACGTACCATATAAATCACAGTGGTAACTTCATGTACCTCCTACTTTAAAATCTAATAATTCTGATTTTGCACACAGAATGTATTTTATATGTTAGTTTGGTTTAGTTATAAACAGCATTAACTAATGTAGATTTTAATGGAGTGGGGAACTAGGAACTGGAGTTTTAAATATTATTGACGGGTTCTGTAGATTATTAACTCGTTTCTCTAACCAATTTGCGCGTCTGACTTGTAATTAAAAAATTATAAGTATCATATCACAATACCACTTTTAATATTCACTTTGTTCATAACTTTTAGTTTTTCCGAGAGTAAATTCATTTGTGACTAGATGACAAAAATTAAATATCCAGCTTGACATAAATTACATAAACAGAAAGGCGGTAGTTCGTACACTAATTGGCCAATATTTAAATCCTACCAATTACACTCACATGAGGCCCCCTTTTAATACTACCTTTTAAATTGACATAAAATAGGGTCGACTAATTGGAAACCATTTAATTAATTTTTAGCACAGTAACACGAGCATTAAATGCCATTGTTAGCAACGTCTGTCCATTGTGGCACAATGTAAAAATTAACTAGCAACTTTTGAAGCTGCAATTAAAATTGGCAATAAAAAACAGGAAATAAAAGTGGGTCTGCCGCTTGAACATTCGCACTGAAGTGCGTCCACACACACGTCGTAACTCTGTGAGCGACCCGGCGGTAAAACAGATTAACACTCCGGTGAATCAGAATGACCTATTTGATTCTTTCTGTACTCGTGTATGTCTGGTAATTTATTGCTTAATGTTTATAGAACGCGTGTTTCTGCCTATATATTACAAATCACTTCATACCACTCTAAGTACGGTAGATTCATATGAAAGGAAAACTAATAAAATTAACACATTCGTTCCGAAGATCAAAGTTGAAACAACCAATCAGAGCGATTCAGTATTTATGAAAAATATATTAATTAATGAGCAAAAGTGACCAAATGATTACATTACATTTTTAAACAAAGTGATTAATACATTTATCGACTAACTTTAAGGAACAGTTATCGACAAGCTGACATTCGCTCAGCTAGCAATCATTCCTCGCCTTCTTTTACAATACCCAACAGTTAATTACCGCGTTCAAAAAATTCCGCAATTCGGCCTTCGCCTAAGACGATGCGTTTCTCAACTAACTCATGCGTACTACATGCCCTTCTCATAACATCCATTTTGACTAGATGACCCTAATAATATGTGGTAAATAGTACAAATTATTAAGTTCCTAATCACGTGTCAAGTTCAAATATACTAATGATATGTGAATTTCTCATAGCGATGAAGACGTTTATCGATGTTTACTTCGTTTTGACGCCGTGTGGTCCTCAACATTTCATTAAGAAGGTCGTAACCTAACCTATAAAAGCATTCTGCGTCACAGCTCAGAAGACCACCAAAGACATCCTATTTTAAAGTTGAAGGCATCCATAGTTACCCTATCTTATCAAAACAGTTGCCGTACAATCCATGTATCTGGCAACGTCAATTTGAAATTGTGTTAAAGATTATTAAATCCAGAAAAATACACTTTCGAGTCTCATCAATGAATGGACAATAGACTATTTCGTATCGAAAATAGTTCGTGCTCTGGTCTCTGAGGACTACAATATCAAAATTCTATTTAGCATGTGTCACCTAAGTACCCGGTCTGTTCTCAGACAGGAAGACAATCTCCCAGAAGTTCTGTACACTGCAGTATTCTTCGCAGACCTGCAATTTATTTTCGTATAGACAACATGACTACAAATAAATTATAAATTAAAGCGGATTAAAACTGTGCACGTAGCCGCCTGAAGTGCTCTCCTTTCGAGTACTGGCCATAATCAGCGTTCATTAGCTGGCAGCTAGCACAGCGCGGTTCGGGAGATGCTAATGTAGCCATGGGTGTTGACTAAATCCAATATTAATGACCTGGGTACTTCGCTCAGTAATTTAATAATACAACATTTCAATAAAACTCGCGTGTAACAAAGTTTCTTAAATTGGTGAGATGTACCGACGTAAAATATAAAAAAAGCAGCAGCCAATGTAATAACAGTAGTGACAAGTTCCTGGCGAAAAGCCATAAATAGAACAGTCACTAAATCGCTTCACTATGTCACTGGCAAATAAGTTCATTTATCAGTGCAGTCAGAAACACTACCACTACACCAGACACTCACAGTGTTCTACTGCGCAAACCAAGTTGCTCGAGACGCAGTATAACTGGCAAAAAACGCTGTGCTTTTCAAATTATAGTAAGGCGTTCCATAAGAAAAAAACGCAGACATATTAATCACGGCGTCAGAGGAAACCAAATGTACAACCGTTGTAGCATACTCAGACTATAAACGTTTCCTGCAGACATGAACAGTCACGCAAGTCTCAAAACAAATGGCCGATCATTTTAATAACAAAATGCTTATGAAAATGGTAATTAGTATTACTGTATATTGCAGATAAGTGAACACTACCTCAGAACGTTTCATGACGCACTCCGTACTTTTAGTTCAAGCAAAACGCAAAATGGATGTTAATCCTAGAACATTAGGACCGGTCTGTTCTACCCAGACCAAAGCTATGGTTTCTGTTGGTTTTTGCGTTAGTATATTACAAAAGACAGGGAAGATCTGTGTATGTTAATGTGTTACACAAGCTGCAAGGCTGTTACAGTAAAATGGGATCGAAACGCAAAACTAAGTTCAGCTGAGTTACGAACGCAATACTAAAGCCAAGAGAAACAACATATTTGTTATTTATTGTCTAATAATAATCTTACGCTATATATGAAAACATCCTTTGACCAATTACAATTGGTATAATTAATTAGTTAATAAACACAATATAAGTCTGATAAAATAAACTATTTGTGATATGTACTTTTGTGAATATCTTGGCATGAATATCTGAAAAGAGGAAAATTATTCTAACTACCTTGAAGGTTTAATTTTACAGTGCGTATCAGTAACCTGTCTCAAGATAGTAAATAGTCTTTCAGAATTCCTGCAATAGAAACTTTTTCCGCAGAGCAACAGATCAAGAGCTGTACCTCTCGAAAGAATCTTCTTTCATGTGTACTGATTGAAGTCGCATACAAATCTTCTTGTGGATTTCACCGCTCCTGTAGTGGTATTGATATATGTTGAGTCGATGTGTCGGTTTCAGTAACGCGTACAAAGAAAAATAGGCAGGCAGCCATTCATGAATCAGGCACCTGCTATACAGAATCCGGGCGCTTTTAATTGGCAAATGGAGTTTCAGCCACTATTTTCAAAATGCACAGTGTTACTGCGACTCAATAAATATCGGCTTTGTAACTGGTAACTCCAATCTTGCATTGGTATCAGAACTCAAATTTAAAATACGCTTAATAACAAAGCCCACCATTGTGTCTCATCCTTAGCCAGTTCAATTCAATACGACTTAACCTTCTCAATAAAACTATGCCTTAACTATATTAGAACTTTTAATAATCAATGGTATCACCTTATTTATTTTGGTCCACGTATTCAATTCAAAAAGTTATTTTATATTGTTTGTTCTTATGAACGTAAGACTCGGTCTCTCACATTAAGGGAGGAACATAGATTGAGTACTTGCAAAAAGAGTTCCGAGTTAAATACTTGATTCAGAAGGTGAAAAATGGAACGAAGCTGGAGGAAATTGAACACTACGCGCCATAATGTGTTCTGTATATCAGATATTGTTAGGGTTGTTAGATCATGGGTGGGAACAATTCATGCAGCATGTTGGTTAGAATGTCTGAAGGGGAGACACCACTTCGAAGCTTTGGGTGTATAACGCAGAGAAATATTAAAATTTATTCTATAAAGAAACAGGGTTTAGGGTGTAGACTGGATTCATCTGACTCAGGCAGGATCAGTGACGTGCTCTTGAGATAAACACGGTAATGAACCTTAGGGTTCAATAAAGGGCAGGTAACTTCTTGTCTTAGCTTAGCGACTATTAGTTTCTGAAGAACTGTGCTCCATGAAATTACATGTTTATATATTTATAATTTATAGACTTATTCCAACTGCAGCGTAAGAGTCGAGTACCAAAATAAAATCATGTTTATATATCTACACAATAAGCCATCACAGTCATCTCACCATCTTGTCCAAAAGCTAATGTCAAATATTTTCCCAGATGCTCATTACTCTTATAAATATTATTCATATCATTATTTTTGTAACAAAAGTGTGTACAAAAATAAAAAGTTGTAATATCGCTGCAGTGTGAATTAAATTATTTCTGGAACATTTCCTGTCCTCTGGTCCCTGCTGTATCCGGGTCCACGGCATTGATTAATAACATAACCTAACTGGACAGTACACATATTAAAGACTTACCGGAAATGAACATTGAGGACGAAGACGGTAATGGAGATGGACAGCGTGACGAGTATCATGGTGAAGAGCAGGTACTTGCCCAGCAGAGGTACCGCTAGAGATGTTGGTGGGATGATTTCAGCGAGCAGCAGAAAGAACACTGTGAGTGACAGGAGGATGGAGACGCAGAGCGACACCTTCTCGCCCGAGTCGGAAGGCAAGTAGAACACCAGCACAGTGAGGAACGTGATTCCAACGCAGGGGATGATGAGGTTCACAGTGTAGAACAGAGTCTTTCGGCGCATCGTCAAGTTGAACGTGATGTCTGCAATAGCAATTACATTGTTACGTTTACCGTCTGTGTACTGTTCCCATCATCTGTCCTGGCGTCTTAAATAAGGAGGGGGTGCGTATGACACGTTCTGCACGTCCCCTGCTCAGTACCACCGCCCAGAATAACACCTCTACATTATACGAGCAGTTTCAGCAACAGCGTGTTAAGTGTGACAATAGAGCGAACACTGCCGCGCAGAATGTTATTTGATACTGAATACCTGCTTTGCCGTCACGTCGCTTTAACAAAGGTGTCGGAAATAGAGGCATAACCACTATCATGCGCACACGTGTTGTGTGTCAACGCCATTTAAGAATAAATTTATCAAGGGTCACTCCGCCAACTCAACGTAACTAACACCAGTGAGATAAACAAATGCCCGTGCGTTTTGAAAACAGACAGGTTACACACTTTCTGTGTTTTAGAGTACCACGGCGGTATCTAGGACACATCCGATGCAAACAGAGCCGTGTTTAACCACTTAAACCACTGTCTGTCAGCTCTCCCGACCCGAGGTCCCACGTCTAACTACTATCGACAAAGTCGGAATAAGACACCGGTAACGTACAACCAAGTTAATCACTTTGACACTAAATGTGCGTGTATTTAGATTCATTCACGTGGGAGATTTAATGGGATTATCGCTTTAATCTGAGAGCCTTTTGGATTACATACCACATAAACCAGGCTACATTGTATTGAACTTCGTGTAATGTACAGTACCATATTGATGATCATCATATACACTCATGTAACACATGGACCATGAATGTTCAACGATCCAGATCATCAAGACCCATCCTACCGTAACCCCATGGTAAAGTATGTGATTACATATTTGTATGCCTGTACTCTGTTACGACTTCCCCACGACAATTTGCGCATCAGTTAATGTCGCGGGAATCTAGACCGCTGACAACTAATTCTTTGTAACAAAACATGAGCGTCTGTATCGGATTTGAGGTTTCCACGGCGGTGAGTCTGAAGATTGCTGTCTTCTGGGTTGTTGCGCCGTGTAATATGATAGAAGTTTACCGACGTTTCAGAGTTCCTGGCTGCCTCCATCATCAGGGCGACGAGTCATCACCCTGACGATAGAGGCAGCCAGGACCTCTCAAACGTAGGTAAACTTCTACCAGACTTCACGGCGCAACAACCAAGAAGACAGCAATCTTCAAAATATAAAAGTCTGCTAACAGCCATCTACACGTCTCTGTATTTCTATACAATGCTGTCAGGTGAACACAGAGTCTTTAGTCCCGCTTTAAAAAGTAATAAAAATGTTTAATTGATCCGAAAGGAATTATTCAGGAACACCGGTACATTTCAGCCATAGTTCCTCAAACAGTCCACGTCAGTTATTCCAAATTTGTGTTCCTCAGAAACCCAGAGCTCTATGAGAGTTTCACACAGATTTTTTATAACCATCACTTTAAGCTAATATTAGTTTTCCACAAAGGAAACTTTCGCTGGACGCAATTATTAAAAATTAAAGTACCAGTCAACGTACATCAAACAGAAGTTCTATCCCCCCCCCCATTTCTGCACAAAACTCTTGCGTTGGCAGTTTTATTTCGTTCACATTGCAGGCTTGTATCACATTTTTATCTGAAAATTACATTTCATCTCCCAGTCTGCCAGAATTGTTTGTCTTTTATACGGTACAGAGGAGATAATAAACAGCCTAAACATATTATATGAATGCGATGTTCAATGCATCACTGCGAGATCGCTTATTAAAAACTGCACAATCAATCATACTTTTCAGTCGCCAATTTCACCAGTTGTTGTGTTTTAGTGTTCGTAATAGCGATGATTTGTTGTTTTGGAGTTACGCCTGTGTTTCGAATCCTAAACGCATGATCAAAAGTTTGGGAAAAGCGTGTTCTTGCTTTCGGTTTAAATCATATCGCGGAGGCACACAAGATTACAGCAGGTTGAGATTATAATGCAGCAGCTTTAAAGACTTTAAAGATACGCGGGATTTAAACAAACACGTTTAGTAACTGAATAATTAACTCCAACTTAATTTAGACAATCTAGCAAAGAGAAGCCAAACTTCATCAAACTATAGCAATTACTTTAATATATATGTACATACTTGTGACGCAGTTTTACTAACACTCCAGCTGAACACGGTGCTAGCCGCTAAATCGTTAATGTAAACACTAAGACACTTAGCCACACTATGCTATAGTTAATGGTTTTAAGCTTCGCTCTTGGTATATATGTCTCCAGCGGTTAACAAATTCTGGTAACTATTTCATTGTTAGTGGAAGAGTTCTGCACAAGTTTTCCTGTCCGTAGTTTGACTGAGCTACACCCAACTCGTAACATTAGACCAGTGGTTCTCAACCGGTGTGCCGCGAGCTTTTGCCAAGTACACCGCTGGTTTGGAAGAATGATTATATAAAATTAAATATACATATTAAAAAATCAAACACTTGTTAATACCACATTATTATCCGTAATTTATGCCGTCTCGAACTGAGGCAATTACATTCTGGAAAATCTAAATAGGGTTAGTTATTTGTATTTATAGCGGCACAAAAGTCTACCATTCCTTTGCAATACAGCGTAAGAATGGACAAAAAGAGACGAATTTTTTTAAATTCAAAAACTACGGAGAAATTAAACCAGGTACAACTGTTGTCAAAGGTGGATATAAATGTCTTCCAACTAGGCTTCAGAGTTCACTTTATGAAAATAACACGCAATGATACAAATAATTTTGTTCTTGAAACAAAAATATACACTGAATTAAAAGGATTAACCTATATTTATTCCTTGTTATGAATGTATTTTTCTTCACTTGTGTTCGTAATTTAGACATTGCGTGGTTTGTTTTTTTTACACGCTTTTGTATTGTGTGTGCGGTCGCCCCGTTATCAAGAGCGAATTAGCGGACACGTATAGAAATTCGAATGAACTTACCGGAATAAGGCTCTGCACAACAGGGGTAGTATTCTTCATTCCTTCGCGCAGGGACTGCCAGAATGTCCCATTCTACAGATAAGTAGAACTCGCTCAGGTCAATACCAACATTCACCAGGTTACTTCCCGGTTGCTGGTCCATGTGTTTCAAGTCAACCTATAGGGTTTGACAAAAATCGTACATTCAAGAGAGTCCAGAAAGTCAGATATAATCAGAATGATTTATTTTAAAAAAATAATACACTGTAACTTGTTAAAATTAAGTGTAGTCACCCTGAGAGTACTTGCCTCCTAACTTTATACACGTATGTCAAAGCTCGTTCTACGCCTGCGAACACTACTTCCAGTACTATCATAACATGGCCCAAATGTCACAGAATAATGAAGGGAAGAAAGCTGAAAGTGGACATACTCCTCACCTGGAAGCCATTGTAAGTCCAGGAACCGAACTTCATGATGCAGCTTTGCTGATCAAATGGGAAATACTCAACATTAATCTCGCAGGAGGATTTGTAGATCGCTGGAGGCTTCCAGTACACTTCTCCCGTGTGCTTGAGGGTCGCCTTTGTCATTAGTGTGACCTCATAATTGCCGTCCGCACTGTAAACAAATGTCAATGCGTTTATGTTGTACCAATAATTTATCATTCAACTTAACTTAAGATATTTATTCCATCAGTTTTCTAATTAGTTAATTATTTTCCTAGTCATTTAGTCATACGGTTAGTTAATTGAATAGTTAGACGGTCCATTAGTAAGCGAGTATCAGCAGCAGGTCTTTCCAAAACATTGGTAAATTACCTACAGGACTACGCGAAATTACCACTGCAATCTAAATATCAAGAGCATCGTGCCAGAAGGGCATATCAACATATTTGCATAATCGGAGACATTTAGAAACAACAAAAAACAGTGGAATGTATGTCAGAAGGGTGTAATGCTGATGCTGGTCTACGCAGAGACGCTGACAGTTATATTTTGGAATAAATGCAAATTTATTAGTGCAGATAAGCGTAAGAATTTAGATCTCGTAAAACAGTAATTCTCTTGATATGTCCTTCTAGCACGTGGAGCCAAAGAGCGAGCCAACCTACTTGTTATAAAGCACGATGTCGGGTAGCCAAATGTGCTCCGACGGGACGTATAGCATCTCAACACCGCCATAGTCCTCTGGCTCCCAATGAAGTTTGTAATCTTTCCATTTCTAAAACATAAACACAACACGCCATACCATTCCTATTTAACCACACCAGCTTTTAATGTGGCAAAGTTTCCAACGAGAACGTATCAAATAATTGAGATCGTTTGCAACGATGAAAATGAACATTGATAGCAGAGTCCTTGGCAGGATACACCGCGTTCAGTCTAGCTGTGCCTGTGATGACGTCAAACACGGGGAGAAGTGGAAATAATGGGGCAGGTGCTAGCATCTTATTTCCGTCCTGTCTGTACAATCTTCAACAAACATTGAATGATCATTGCCTGCTACTGGCACTTTGTTTATAAACAAGCGGTTCGGGGTAATGATAGCTAGAGTGAGGAAGCAACATGTGTTGTCTGCTCATGAATTACACAACTGTTCACTCCTGGGGCTCGTTTTAGAAACTGTCAATGACAATTATGTTTCAAACAAGAAAATTTATCTTCATAATATGAACTAGTGTTATAATTAATTAAATTTAATAATAGCATGGGCTGGTGTAAATATTACGATACTTCTATTTGAGATAACGTTAATAACGATTTGAGGCAGTTGTCGTAGTTCAACCTAATCAACATTTTGTTTTTAATATAATATTGTGATCTTTCTGCCAGTGTAATTCGAATATACAAATTTTATTTTGTCTGTAGAGAGTGCACTACGAATGTATACACCAAAACTAATAGACTGACGCCCAAAGGTAACGCTAAAATATTGCGACGTTTAAATTGTGTCACTACAGGAACTATTTGTCATTTTAAGTAGTTCCACTAACGTTCATGCATCAATATATTCTTAGAAATAATTATTATATTCACCTGCTGGACCCATAAATTCGTCGTCATAACTTGGTTCTTCAAATTCTGAAACAGAAGGAAACAAAAATGTCTGAAATCGAATTATTTTACACTAAGTAAAGTACCAGAAGAAGGCAATGGCAAACCACTTCTGAATCATCTGCCAAGAACGTATATGAACAGGTCCCGATCCGAGAAAAGGATGGAAGGATCCTGTTCATATGGACCTGTCGTCAGACAGAGCACTAAATAAATAATAATAAATATAATAAGTAAAGTACGTAGTTCAAGCACAGGCCTATACCATGTACAGGTAAGCCTTCTATTTCCATAATATCATCACGTTAAAATCTTTACAGTTTTTGTGAATAGCTGTTATAATACAATGCTGAACACAACAGTAGTCTAAGACGTGGATCTTCCCCATTCGAACGTTCGGGTCTTTGGATAAATTCATTCCAGACCTGGATTTGTGTCCGTCCGGGCCTTTCTGTATTACGTTGTCTTGTGTAGACAGATACCTTGCGCTGGGCTCATCACCCTTCCAAGGAGTCTGTCTAAACGAATTCACTCATAAATTCAGAAGTCTTTCTGAACTGGACAAGTCACAAAGTCTGTGTGAAAGCTCAAAAAGTTTTAAACTACGAAGCATTACATTATTTTTGCCTTACAGTGTTAAATGAATTGAAGAAGTGCAAAAGTTAGCGATTCCACATGGAATATCAGAGGATGCTGTATAGCTATAGGTCTTATAAATATGTTCACCGAGAGTATTTGGCCAATAATACCAATATTTTGACATTTTTGTATTCAGTAGGATTTTATATTTTCACTGCTTTTCGAAGATGGCTGTCTTCTGGGTTGTCCACGGAGGCAGCAACGACCTCTGAAACTATGCTAAACTTGTACCAGACTACACGGTGCTACAACGGAGAAGACAGCCATCTTATTTTTGTTTTAGAATCTAAAAATTCATTTCCAATAATCTGATAATCTACTGCTTGTAGGACGTGTCTTGGTTCTTAAATTTTGTGCCTTTTATGAAATGAGTACGATATTATCAAGTAAGAAAATCATATCACTGGCAATGAACAACAACACCAAATTGAGTAAAAGTTAAATTCATTAGAGATGATATTCTGGATTGGTGCGCCGTGTGGTATTTTGGCTATGTACCAACATTTGACAGGAACATACTGCTTCCATCATCAGTTTTACCCAGAATATCATCTATATTCACATCGCCGTGGATACTTCGTATGTTGTGTGGAAGGTTACTCACCACCTCGATGAGTTGGGATAGTTTGAGACCCAGCCAGACCGTGAGAGTGTCCGAGTTGTTGCTGACTGGTCTGATCAGACGATTGTAGTTGCTCATTAGGTCGTCGTACAGCCGCTTCGCATCTGGGTTCGCCTCGTAGGTCACAGACTTCAACCCTAAAGTGCCCACAAATCACGAGCTAACTCCATGGAACAGAGCACGTCTTGAGGAACTAACAGTCGCTCAGTTGGTCTAAACATTCCCGGCTCTTTAAAGACCTCGAAGGTTTACTATCGTGTTCACAAGAGCCCGGTACTAAC